GAATCCACGGCCAGATTATACGATAGTTACTTCTCCTCTCGGACATTGCCCCTTTCGGCTTTCGCCCTGTCCCGGGGGCGTGCCGTCCACGCGACGCGACCCCAACGTAGCAGTGCGGCCGTACATAATAATCACAAAGCGTGCTCAATTTTGGGGCCTCATTTTTGCATACTTCCAAAAAAAAAACTCTAATACGTTTTAATACACAAAAAATACTAATATTCTGAAAAATTTATACATTGAGAATGCCCATACCCGTTTTTTTTTTTTTTACCAGAGGCCCATACCCGTTAACTCAGACTCAAGTTATATTTTTAATGCACTACCATATTAGGCGTTTAATTCAAGAGTGTGTAAATTAATTAATTTTTTAATCCACAAATGAATAGAAAAGGCTAGTAAGATGAATTTCATTTATAGAGGGAGTAGCGTTTTAGTCGGGCTTTGTAGTGTGAAATATAGTTATTGTCATATGAAAACACAACCATAGACAGTTGGTACTATTTTTTTCAGTACAGGTACAGTTTTATTAATTAATTAAGCCGAATATGTGTTGCTAGTATTATTAATTAATATCCTTTTGACTAATTAAGCGGAATATAATGGAGGATGAAAATTAAACTAAATAACTATAATATGATGCGTCCAAAAATAAGGAACAGGACTGTAATAATGGAGGGGAGGCGTTTCCTGATTTGTCTTTGATGCCAAGTGCTAAGAACATGAATGTTAAAATACTACTATTATATACTAAAATCAATAATAGAGACCAATTAAGTTCAATATTTTTTGTAGATGTCAATCAATCAAGTAAAAAATTTGAAATCACGATCAAAAGTGACCCGAAACAAAAAATAATACTTACTGTTTAATTTTAAAATATATCAATTTCACACACACTCTTATCATGAGATTTAGATTGCAAGTTTTGAAACTATAATTAAAAATAATTATAAAAAGTATGCTCAGCAACATTATTCTCGATTTCACACAGTAATGGAGTTTGTTTTAATATAACAAGTCTTTGGTCTATATACATGCAATGCAAATATGTAAATTGAATTTTGAGTTTTTTTTGTCTGTGTAATATTTTGTTACTACGTTTTAGGTTCATAATATAAGAGCTAATTGTAGATTTAACTTTATCATAAATATAAGATCTTAATTTATTTTATTTCACATGTTTATCTATTTCGTCCCATGTAATCTCTATAGTGATTGTGTATGTTAATGAGATTTTATAAAAGTAGTTTTAACACATATGATTAAATAAATAATACATATTTATTATAAATAATTGACTTAGTTTTTTTTAATATTTATAAATTAATTACTGAAGTTGATATTTTAATTTGTGCTCGGCTTTTATAAATGCGCATCATCACGGGACGAGCTTATCTGGTTTTCTTGAACGACGTGATCCTTTCTCAAGTAAAAACAATATTAGAATTGAATATTAAATTTCACGAGTGCTTGTTACTGTTTTATTCTTGTTTTATTCGGTGAGCTACAAATGATACGCAGCATCATCAAAGTTGGCAGCCTCGTGAGATACGAGCATCTTGGTAAGGATTTTGAACTATCTGGACTAATTTTTCTTTTTTAAATTTTATTTTATTCAATTGATTTTCTAAAGTTATACTAAGCACTTTTTTATACTAATTCATTTTTATATGAATTAAATATTTTAGCGTATTTTTTAACTTATAATGTTCGAATACTTAACCTTGTCATAACCAAGCATGATCACTGTCCTGTTGTGTTTTCATTACTTGTTAATTCCAAGTAAAAAAGGTAAGCATAACGACGTGTTTATTTAGATCTATTAAATTAAGATAAAATTTTTACTATATGCTGACTTTGTGTTTCATAAATCACAGCTAAAAAACCTATTTTAAAGGATCCAATAATTATTCCCGATAAGCCCTATCATTTTAAAAGTCATTTAAAATCTACGAGCTACTGAAATGCACTGGTTTGGATTCAGTTTGTTATCCAGGAAAAAAAAAAAAAAGTGCCCAGTTTTGAAGGCTCATCTGAAATGTGAAAGGTACATATTCTTTTTAAATAAACAAATATGCCAGTGATTGCCAATAAGTTAATTGTCGTTCAATGATACACAGTTAAAAAATGAACAGTCATCCTAAGCACCAACGATTAATATAATAGACGAATAAACTGAGAAAATAATAGGAAAATTAAAAAAAAAATTATTGTACTCTTACACTCGTGTTAAAACAAGCCAGTATTAGCTGTGTGTATTCATTGAGCAGAAGAGACAACTCTTCCAGAGAAAACGAGGCTCTATGCCAAATAAGAGTGGAAACAGGTCAGGTCAGGCCAGACTTTACTCTCAACAGGCCAGGCCTGTTTTGTAGCTTATAGGCCTGAGCCTGGCCTGTGGCCTGTTACAGGCTTATTTTTCAGCCTGAGCCTGGCCTGTATAAAGACCTGGCCTAGCCTGAAGCCTGTTAAAAAGTCTGTTTTTTAAAAAAAATTCAAATTACAATATTTTTTTTAGAAAAAAGCTAAAATAAAAAAAGTATACATAATAATTAATTTTTTAGTTTTGTCTTTTATTTAAATTTTAGTATCATAGGTATTGTTTTAAATCTTAATTACAATTTATAAGGATATTATTGAAAACTAATTCGAATTATATGTTAAAATTTGGGACAAAACTATGTTTAAGTACCAAAAAAATTAAGACAAATAAATAAAAAAAACTATTAATTTTACAATGAATAAAGAGAGTATCATAATTTAATTAATATAATACATAAGTTAATTAATCTATCATTCTTGGAACAAAAATTTTCTTTCCTGTTTTATTTATATTTTTAAGATTTAAAGATCATATTATTTATTGATATTTTTATTTTAAATTATATTTTTATCTTTACTTGTCAACTAAACTTCAAAATCTAAAGAAGAACTAAGCTATTAACTATATATTAAAATTAAAAAATAAATTAAAAGTAGACATTAACAATGCCATTAACTAATTTTTTTATATATTATAATTATAAGTTTCTAACAGGCTCAGGCCGGCCTAACAGGCTTAACAGGCCTTTTAGAGAGCCTAAGCCTGGCCTATTAACTTAAACAGGCCTTCAAACAGGCCTGAGCCTGTCTCTTTTGGAAAACAGACTAGGCCAAATATAGGCCAGGTTGTAGGCCCCTGACAGGCCGCCTGGCCTGTTTCCACCCCTAGTGCCAAATTCACTTCCCCATTTTATTTTATATTTAAGCACAAAAGAGTCCTCAACAGATATCCATTTTTTTGGCCAAAAGTATAGACTGATATGCATAATGTAGAAAGAATAATTTAAGAGTGATATTCTTCTCCACATAATTTAATTTATTATACTTGATATTGATGGCGTTGACGTTGATTTTAGGTACATTAGCAAAAAAATGTGCAAAAAAGTTTATTTAGATTAGGGTTGTGAAAATCGCCTGGTGACTTGGTCTGATCCTACTAGAATCATCTTCTTTGTTTAGATTGGGTTCCCGTCAGACACTTCAAACCCTAACCCCCCCCCCCAAAAAAAACACACGCACACATATTGTATTTTCTAAACCCTTTTTAAAATTTGAAATTAATTATTAACTTAATTGTAAAAAATAAATAAATAACAATTTTTCAATATACAGTTTTGAAATGACTACTTTTGATTCAAATATTAGTTTCATAAGAAATAGCATGTTCTGAATGATTTTAATTACGTATTTTTTGTGTGAATAAAATTATTTTTCATATTTTATACATAACATTCTAGCACTGGATTATTCCATATAGTACTCTCTTCGTCACTTATTATAAGATCTAGTTTTTTGAATGAGTTTGTCTTTTTTTATAAAATTTTCTTCGAGTTCGTTTGAGCATTTAATGCAATATTACCTATTTTATCTCTAATTTAATGTATTTAATACATTTTCTTTTTTTGTTTATATTACTATTACTTTCTCACGTTTATCCATTTATATATAAGATTATATTTGAAAAAAAAGTGCATTTATTATATATTAATTGTTTTTAATTAATTTTAACTATTTTTTAAACCGCGTAATTTAGTTAAAAGGATCTAACTGACGGAGTAATGCAATGAGTGAGGTGTATCAATTCTATTCTTATCCAACCCTCATAAAGATTGAGTTTTGTTGGATCATGAGCAGGTAACAGACTCTCCCAACAAATTATAACGCTGTTGTATTGTGAGAATTCAAACACGAGACCACTAAGACATGCTTGTTTGTCCTTTGCAATTATCTTGGAACCTAGTTTTGATTATTTTAGAAAAAATCTGGGGGTCAGGGAGTTTAATTCCTAAAACCCAGTGTCCAAATGAGTTACTGCTACTCGTATAAATTATAGGTTGAGTAATTTTGAATAATTTATTTTTCATAAATACATGAATTGACTCATGTTAATTATACACAATAATAAATAACGTCCATACCTGCAGTCAACTATTAATAACACATTTCCTCGTGAATACCACTCATTAAATTGGGCACCATGATATATCACTCTCATTTAAGAAGAAAATATGAGTATATACATTATAGTAGTATTTTATAAAAGATGGGAGACGAAGCAGGAAAAGATTAAAAAAAAACTAAATAAGAGAGAGCATTTCTTAAATCCAGGGATAAGACACGAGATGGAACATAGTACTGTAATATAGCAATGAACATTCATGATTTTTATATCTCAAACTAAATTTTAAATTAGAATATAATTTTTTTGTTCAAAGAGTCAGAATATAATGAATATTTGAAATTATAATTTAATATTTTAACTGAGAGTAATTATGTATATTTTTTGTTTTAGGGAAAAGAAAGGGCGAAGCCGGCGCGTGGGAGTGAAGGGCGGGTAAAAAGTGTTGGTGAGTGGGACCCGCCACCATAAAATGGAAAGGACCAGCACGGAAGCTGTGTACTCTCATTCAGCCGAGCAGAAATATATAAACACCTCTCTGGGAACGGCATCGGCCTCCCATTTCATTTCCCCTCATCTTCTTCTATCGCTATCTGTCAATCCTCTTCTCCTCCTCCTTCCTTTTCTTTCCTGCATTTACTCTCCCTCCCTCTCTCTCTGTCGCAACTTGTGATTGACCATGACTCTCTAGTCTTCCTCCTTTACTGTTTCTACCCCGTCTTCCTCCTCCGCTTTCGATCCGTACTTTTTCCTACCTGCTTCGCCCACCATCATGGGAGGCATCAGCCTCGAGGAGATAAAAAACGAGAACGTTGATCTGGTATTCTCTTTTTCTCCCTCTCTTTGCTTCCTCACAAAATTGCCTGCACCGAAATCAAATGATTCTCTCCTGATTTTCATTCTGATTTCGAATTTTCCATTTTCTGATGGTTTCGGAATTATTGAGTGTGCTTCTCTGAAATTTCTGCTGTCGATACGTGGTTTGATTTGGTTTGGCTACGATTTGTTAATCGTTCATTGTTATAACTGCGTGCACGGCTAAATTTTTGTTGTTTTCTGAGGCGGAATGGCATGCATAGCCTTTCTTCGCATGTCATCTCGCCGCGTGAGCTCTGAAATCCTTTTTCTGCAACTGCTGCTTCCTTCCCTCCTTCCATCTCTCAAAGTGCCAGAGAGAACTGGGCCCACTTTCTCTGGGTTTCAGGTTCGCTTCCAGCCTTCAGCCAAATAATGATAAAAGTATAGAAGTATAAACAAAGAAACTGTTTGTTATTATTTTTTCATACACATATTTTCTTATGGACCTTACTTTGCTTATCGGCAACAATCGGACTTATATTAATTAATTTTTATAAAATATACACTTTTTGATTTTTCATTTTTTTAACTGGAATTGATTTTCCAGTTCTGGCCACAAAAATAAGAAATTTAGGAGTGTTTAGAACACCTCAAAAACACTTTTCAAAAATATTTTTTTATAAATTGAGATAAATTCATCTATATAGTTATCTCGTATATTATAAAAATATTTTTAAAATCATTATTTTATTTCTATCTAAATACTTTTTTAATTATGAAATGCTTCCGTAACGTGCTTTTATCTTTTGGCAGAGGGCGAGATATCCGCGCTCTCCGATCGCATGTAAAGAACAAATATTGGGTATCACCGCTTTCTGCGGGAGCACCCAACTTTTTTCTGAGTTATGATTTTTTTCCAATTAAAGGAAAAAGGGGGGAAAAAAAAAAGAACTGAGGGCCTAGAAGTCTAGAACATTTGCTGCCTAACATATGTTAAAGCACTTTTTTTGAAAGGAATTTAAGAAATAAGCCGTGGGTATATATATGATAATAAAATAGTGTACTTTAATAAAATTTAATACCGTGGTGTAAAATTCAAGACGAGAATTTGAGTTCCCTACAAACGCCTTCATGTGTTTCTTTGTCGGAGACGTGTCTGACACTGATGATTGGGGGCAAAATTTTAAATGTGGTTGTACATCGTTCATATTTTATGTGGCCAGAAAATATTTTATGTAGCATACCTTGCCTTCTTCTTCTTCTTTTTTTTTCTTGATGATTAAAGAGGAAAGCAATCAAAGCATATCAAGCATTATTTTATTTTATCTTTTTGTTAAAAAAATTATTTTAGCCCTTCAAAATTCCTCATGAGGCGTCATCAAATTAAGAAAAAAATTCCTCGGGGCTCCCTTCGATTATTACTTAAATAATTTCTTTTTTGTTTTTTTTTTAAATTTTATACAGTTTTCTTAATGGTTGTCTTGGGATCAGAGGTCAAGCTGACGTCATGTCGCTTTTTATTTTTTTTGTTAAAGCTCTTATATTTTAATATTAATGATAACAATTTCACGTTGTAGCCACTGACCAGCTACAATTTTGGGCTGCTAAAATTCGTGCAAAACAAGTAAATAATTATATGTGCGCGTTTGCATGGGCTCAAAGTCAATAGGGACTATTTTTCCATTTTTTCTGCAATAGCAATGATATTGACTGTGAAGGGAAATAAGTTTACTAGCATTCGGGCAACTGTTGCGCGTTGTGTGGACATCTTCTGAAGGAATAACTTCCTAATCCATTCTTGCAATTAGCGTAGGTCATAGAGATAGTGAGTAAAAATCTGTTGTGCTTCAGAAAACTAATAAAACAGTTTCTTCCTGCTGATTACATATGAGAATAAACTGAAATAAAACTACTTTGGAACAGGAACGGATCCCGATAGAAGAAGTGTTTGAACAACTGAAATGTTCAAGAGAAGGTTTAACGTCAGACGAGGGAGCCAATCGGCTTCAAGTTTTTGGGCCAAACAAATTGGAAGAGAAAAAGGCATGTTTCTTGGGCACAGCATTTTCTCCTCGTGTTTATATTTTGATTGTATCTGGTTCGCTTCATTGGAAGCATGTAATGATTTAATCCTCTAAATCAACAGGAGAGCAAACTTTTGAAGTTCCTGGGTTTTATGTGGAACCCCCTCTCTTGGGTTATGGAAGCAGCTGCTATAATGGCCATAGCTTTAGCAAATGGTGGAGGAAGGCCTCCGGACTGGCAGGATTTCGTAGGTATCATTTGTCTACTGGTGATCAACTCCACAATCAGTTTTATTGAGGAAAATAATGCTGGCAACGCTGCTGCTGCACTCATGGCTGGTTTAGCCCCCAAGACCAAGGTCGAATATTCTTATCGTCAAATTTCTGTTGGCATGCGTTATTTATGGGAGTGTGGCACCATCTTCTTATTGTTCGTTCATTTTTTCTGGCCACAAATTTTAGGTTCTCAGAGATGGTCGGTGGAGTGAACAAGATGCTGCGATTTTAGTTCCAGGTGATATAATCAGCATCAAGTTAGGAGATATTATTCCTGCTGATGCCCGTCTTCTGGAGGGTGATGCCTTGAGCGTTGATCAGTCTGCCTTGACTGGAGAGTCTCTTCCTGTGACAAAGCATCCCTCCGATGAGGTATTTTCCGGATCAACTGTCAAAAAAGGTGAGATAGAAGCAGTTGTTATTGCTACTGGTGTGCACACCTTTTTTGGTAAAGCAGCTCATCTAGTGGACAGCACCAACCAAGTCGGGCACTTTCAGAAAGTCCTTACAGCAATTGGTAATTTCTGCATTTGCTCAATTGCGCTTGGAATCGTTGTCGAGATCATAGTCATGTACCCAATACAACACCGCAAGTACAGAGATGGGATTGACAATCTATTGGTTCTATTAATTGGAGGAATTCCAATTGCCATGCCCACTGTGTTGTCTGTGACAATGGCTATTGGTTCTCACAGACTTTCTCAGCAAGGTGCAATTACAAAGCGAATGACAGCTATTGAGGAAATGGCAGGGATGGATGTCCTCTGCAGTGATAAAACTGGAACCCTGACCTTAAATAAGCTTAGTGTCGATAGAAACTTGATTGAAGTGTTTGCCAAGGGTGTAGAGAAGGAGTATGTTATCCTTCTAGCTGCAAGGGCTTCTAGGACTGAGAATCAGGACGCCATTGATGCTGCAATTGTAGGAATGCTTGCCGATCCGAAGGAGGTATAGTATGCAACAAATCTCTATAACAAGAGCAAAGTGGAACGATCCCCCCCCCCCCCCAAAAAAAAAGAAAAAGGAGTAGAAAATTTATAAATTACTTTCAATGTTCTGATTCATCTAAATTGACCAGGCACGAGCTGGTATTAGAGAGGTCCATTTCCTCCCATTCAACCCTGTGGACAAGAGAACTGCTCTAACCTACATTGACTCTGATGGAAATTGGCATCGAGCAAGTAAAGGTGCCCCTGAGCAGGTAATTAAGATTTTCGCGATTGCCATGCGATGATGTTTTATCATAGATGAACTAATCAATGTCTTTCTCATGTTTAAGATATTGAACCTGTGCAACTCCAAGGAGGATGTCAGAAAAAGGGTTCATACCGTCATTGATAAGTTTGCTGAACGTGGACTCAGGTCTCTAGGTGTTGCAAGACAGGTTTGCGGAGCTAAAGCATTATTTTTTTAAAATTTTGTTTGCTTCTCTACTCTATTGAATACTTTTTAGTTATTGCTACTTTTTTTGTTCTATCATATAGGAAGTACCCGAGAAATCAAAAGATGCTCCTGGTGGACCATGGCAATTTGTTGGTTTGCTCCCTCTGTTTGATCCTCCTCGGCACGATAGTGCCGAAACCATCAGAAGAGCCCTTCACCTTGGAGTGAATGTTAAGATGATTACTGGTAAGAGTTGTCTTGAGTCTTTTTTGCTATTAGCTTCGCATATACCTTTTCTCAAATTCTATAGCTTAACAATTGGTTGCAATTCTCTTGTTCTCCAGGGGATCAGCTTGCCATTGGCAAAGAAACTGGCCGAAGACTTGGAATGGGAACTAACATGTACCCATCGTCTTCATTACTTGGGCAGGACAAGGATGCTTCTATTTCAGCTCTTCCAGTAGATGAGTTGATTGAGAAGGCAGATGGATTTGCTGGAGTTTTTCCAGGTAGGTTGTTTCTATTTGTAAAAAATCACCACTTCACGTAGAAGGAGAAAGAAAAACAATTTATTACTATACCCTCCAAATTGTTTTTCAACTTTGACTATTTCTAACTTTTTTTTCCATGTTCATAGAATCGTTTTATACGACTCAATGGAGACTGCTGATTGAATCAACAAAATTACTGCATTTCTAATTGCCTGCCAGTTCCTGCGTTTTAACTCCCCCGTTATTGTTTGACATGTAGAACATAAATATGAAATCGTTAAGAGGCTGCAAGAGAGGAAGCATATCTGTGGAATGACAGGAGATGGTGTCAATGATGCCCCAGCATTAAAGAAGGCAGATATTGGAATTGCTGTTGCAGATGCTACGGATGCTGCGAGAAGTGCTTCTGACATTGTTCTCACTGAACCTGGATTGAGTGTCATTATTAGTGCAGTGCTAACAAGCAGGGCTATTTTCCAAAGGATGAAGAATTATACTGTTAGTTCTTTTAATACATAATTAAAAAGTTTTAGATGCTATTTTTCACATATTTCAGAAATCTAAATCCTTCAAATTTTCACTGCTTAATTTGGCAGATTTATGCTGTGTCAATCACCATTCGTATTGTGGTAAGTGCAGAAAATTGGTTGACAAGCTGAAAAATTTTCAGTAGTATTTCATAAAGAAGTCATATGATTAATGCAACCTGTTTTTTACTCTGGCAGTTTGGTTTCATGCTTATCGCATTAATCTGGAAGTTTGATTTTGCACCCTTCATGGTTCTGATTATTGCCATACTAAATGACGGTGAGACAACATATGCTTGACCTTCCTCGATCCTCACCCTGGGTTGTTAACCCTAACTGATTCTTGCACCATCGTTCTTGTAGGTACCATTATGACAATATCCAAGGATCGAGTCAAGCCATCTCCGCAGCCTGACAGCTGGAAACTCAAGGAGATATTTGCTACTGGCGTTGTGCTTGGCAGTTACATGGCACTAATGACAGTAGTCTTTTTCTGGGCCATGAAGGATACCGACTTTTTCCCCGTAATATTTACATCACAAGTTTCTTTAACTCACCGTCGATCAGCCCTAAATGTTATTACAAAGTTCTAAGGGCTGCACCCAATTGTGTTGCAGAACAAGTTCGGAGTGAGGTCTATACGACACAGCAACGAGGAAATGATGGCAGCCTTGTACCTTCAAGTCAGTATTATAAGCCAGGCCCTAATTTTTGTCACTAGGTCCCGCAGCTGGTCTTTTGTTGAAAGACCCGGTCTTCTTCTACTGAGTGCTTTTATGATTGCTCAGTTGGTGAGTATGAGCTCCTTATAAAGCCGATTGTGTTGGGTTCCTTTCATTTTTGTATGTCAAGCGACATTAAGCCAGTGAAGCTGCAATATTTAACTCTGGTGATCAGTATGGGATTGGGAGAAGTCATTAGCCAGCACAATGCAACTGAACTGGTTATCAAATACTGTGTGATGTGCTGACAAAAACATGGCTTGTTCTGTAATTGACAGGTGGCAACTCTTATAGCAGTTTATGCTAACTGGGGGTTTGCACGGATAAAGGGAATGGGATGGGGTTGGGCGGGTGTAATCTGGCTCTACACTGTGGTGACCTATGTGCCTCTTGATCTCCTCAAATTCGCCATCCGCTACGTTCTGAGCGGGAAGGCTTGGGATAATCTTTTGGAGAACAAGGTAAGTGGGTTGTCACTACCACTGCTGTTAATTTTGCATATGCTGAGTTAGTGCAGAGAAATGAATGGTGCTCTGCTTTTACTATCCACAGACTGCCTTCACAACGAAGAAAGACTATGGCAAAGAAGAGAGGGAAGCCCAGTGGGCAGCAGCACAGAGGACCCTACATGGCCTTCAGCCTCCAGAAACAAGCAACCTGTTCAATGACAAGAACAGCTACAGGGAGCTTTCAGAGATTGCTGAGCAAGCCAAGCGTCGTGCTGAGGTTGCAAGGTAAGCCCTGTATTAAAAATTCAGAAACAAGTTCAGTCTCGTAGCAGTCAAGTACTTTCTTTTAGGCTTTCTTAAACGTGAGATTCTGAGTTCAAGTCTAATGAATGTACGAGTTATGACTAAAATCGTGTAGTGGAGTTGATAGAGCACTTACGATGTATATAATTTGGATTTGGATGGATTGAACAGGCTGAGGGAGCTACACACTTTGAAGGGTCATGTGGAGTCGGTGGTGAAGCTGAAGGGGCTTGACATTGATACCATTCAGCAGCATTATACAGTGTGATGAGGAGAGCTTTGGACGGCCTCTTCTGCCATGCAATCGTATAATGACCAGCAAATGGTCTCTGTTGTTTAGATTAGTAACTTCTCTTTTTGTTCTAATTTTATATGTCCTTACTTCGACGTCTGTGCCGGTAGAAGGCGGAGGTACTTGCCTCCCAATAACGTCATTAATATAGTTTTCATTTTACTCACTTGTTCTCTTTTTCTTTTGTCCGTATTTATTATTACGCTCTCACATTCAAAGTTGAAGCATGTGTTATCCAAAAAAATAAAAAAGCGTTGAAGATGATGTAGGTATTCACAAATACTCCCCACTTTCATTATGTTATGTGCTAACATTGTTAAAAGTACTCTAATGCCTCTAAAAAGTATTATTTCACTCCGACAATAAAAATAATTATATTAATTAAATATTGCTTTAAAATCGAAAAAGGATATACAATGTGAAACAATTGCATTTTTTAAACACGTGCTTAAGATAGAAGGATGCATTTCAGGTAAAAAAAAAAGATATTAGGAGATGCACTGTCCCGTGCTGAATGTGGCAATCACTTCATCGCTTCACATATTCATATATTAATAAAGAAGCGCAACCAATCACTCAGTATTCTGTTGATGTCATGTCAGAACACCAATTCTAACCCCCTTCCGCTGTTTTTTTGGAAATTTTTTAAATTTCAAATCATGTTTTTAAAGTATCATCTCTGTGACACATCATATGATAAAGTCATAATAAATTATAAAATCCATAATTCTATTTATACATCTCTCAATTGACAATCAAACAACATTACCAAAAACCATTTATATTGGGTTTTATATGTAACAGTAATTAATTAATTTGGAAATAGATCTTTGATATTTGATATTTCTTCAAATAGTGTAATCAAATTTATTTAAAACTAAGAAATAAAACCAAGGGCCATGCTTATCTATGAGACAAGGAGATGACAAAATCTCTGCGTATGAAAAAGGACAGGCAATATAAAACACCAACTCAACTATTACTTTAAACCATCAACCCATTGCACAACCAATAAGCAAATAACCTAATAAAATCCATTTAAGCGCCAAGACGGAAAGGCACAGTTCCATAGAAATTCAATGAACCACAAATTACCCCCACGCCTTCACATTTTTAACCAGGTCCAGTCCAAATCATCAATCAGACCCGATTTGGTAATCAAATCGGGTATTTCCAGATTTGAACAATCAGTGGATATAATGGAGAGTCACCCAATCGCAAGTCAGCTTGGTCAATTTTTCTTTCCTTCTCAATTCTCATGTCAATGGACGGCACCACCCATGTCGATTTTACTGAACGGTTCATTGAAGTAATTCTGCTAGTTATCAGATTTGTACATATCCCATCCAGACTCCTGGGAAGCTCAAGGAAGGAACTCAAATCATCTGCTGAAGAGCTTGTGGTAGATTTAACACAATCTCTGCATATGCTGACACGGGGGAGCACCAAACACGATATCAGTAGGACAAAAGCTGGCTCAAAAAATCACCTTTTAAGTTTCCCCCACCCTTTTTTTTTTTTTTGCTAAACCACTTTTTCAGAAAAATTAGAGAATATAAAATGCATAATAAATATTTAAGACCCAAATTTATTACACTATGATGGCTCCCAGCAATTTGGATTCATCCCTTTATGACACTTTTGTAGCCCAAGAACTAATTGGTGAAAATCTTAAATCATTTAGGTTTTAGAATTAGCCAAAGCATTATGGTTTTCACCTTCTGGTAAACTCATGGTTCGTAAGGCATCTTCTGCGTAGGTTAGGCGAATTGGAGAAGAGTGACTTCCCAAGAGTGCTGTGCCAGTGGTATTTTTCTTGGACTGGTGCATTGGCCATCCTAACACATTGACCCTTGTAGGAATCACAGAGATGAGATCTGCATATCTAAGACTGACTGTCACCTTGCTGCACAAAGAAACAGATTCTCGGTTTTTCCTTGCCAGGATGAAAGAAGGATGGCAGTACAGAAATGCTATTAGCGTAATTAACAGAAAGAGCAATGGTATTATTCATAGTCCATCTACCAAAATTCTATAAACTTAGCAGGTGGACAGCCCTTTTTCTGCACTAACAGAAACCAAACATGACCAATGATTGTTGAGGAAAATATTTGCTATTTGATTCAAGATGCGGTAATTTTGATTCCGTGATCAACTAAAATGCATCTCACGTGAAATGGATATTGACATAAATTCTTTCAGAATTTCAAACCTGCACGCATCACCTTATTAAGATTGGGTCTAGCTCCTATGATGGTTTGCCGTGTTTATGGGTAGGGGTATCGATGGCATGTCCACAACAGTAAAAACAAAGAATAAGTCATATCGTCCTCAGATTCTAAGGTTTCCCTTCTGATGGAACTTTACTGACATTTCACGATCTTATTCAACCATGAGTTGTTGGACAAAATCTAAACAGGATAAAGAAATAATAACTCTGAATCTGAAGAAAAAGGGACGAGGAAAGCATCAGATAAGGCACAGACCAATCGAAATCATCCAGTACGAATTCAACCATGTGGTAAGGAAGGCTATGATACAGCTCTCCGATTTGATTTCCATAAAGTTCCTTTATGAGTCGTACCTACATGGTATTTAAAAACATATCATATACCATTAATATCAGAGTCATTTAGACATTGTCCAATAAAAATCCATATACCATGCACGGTTCCACAATTGTGTTCCAGACAATATGGACCCATGTTGTATTTTTCTTTGGCTTTATTCGTTTCAGCTTTTTACTGATTTTGTTCCTTGTTTTCACCACTATTCATTAGGCAGATATCTGTTTATGCTCTGCTGATTGTATATCCCATATTGACTCCCTCCTTCTGATGTTTAATTGAGCATTGTGCAGAAATAGAACAAGTCATTAGGACTAAATTTCTCCTCTCAGTATTCTCCAGCTCTCTGTGTGTTGTTTTTTTGGGGCGGGGGGGTTCTTTTTATATTTTCTAGACACCAACATCTTTTCCTCTTGAATGGAAACAAATTGGTCAAAGTATTTGCTGCAGCAAGTTTTGGTGCTATTATGTACTTTTCATATTTGGGTCATTCATTCCTTTCCACTTGCATTTCCAACTCTGAAAATGTAAACTGTGCTCCGTATCACAGAATGTAGACCAGATACTTGTCCCAGAAATATCAAACCAAATAAGTTACATACATGGGCAGTCTACCTGTTCCCGTCTATCCACATAAGCCTGCAAAAGATCTCCAACATGATCTATGAATTTCTGAAAGAAAATCATTAGGAAAAATGCTTATAAAAAGGTTTAAAATAAATCCAGCAAAGATGATGCAGGAAAATGACATTACCATTGCATTGGATGAAAGAAGGCCCTTTTCTGCTTCACGTATTGGCAGAAAAAATGGAATAGTGTGTTCGAGGATAGTCATCTTTTCAAGAAATGACTTGCTCTCCAGCACACAATGGCACACCTCACACGGCTCCCCTGCAACAAGTGAATAGATAATATCATCAGTTAATGACAAAGATACAAGGGGAAGGAAGGGCTAGGGAAGGAAGAAATGTCCAACCATCCTGCAACTTCCATCTTGTACCGTGTATTTACAATTTAAATAACATGACAACATTGCCCCTTGCCAGCAGCAGTAAATGAGTTAGTCAAGAATTTAAATTTACCAGCAAAAGATGTCTGATACTGTATACCAATCCTTGCTCCTTCCAAACCGCAAATTATCTGCTTCCAAAAACAAAACCAATGTTATAGGAGATTATGCACTTTTAAGTTTAATTATATGAACAGGAATAAAATCTCTAGTGAAAATGAGTACATACCAACAACTGGCCCCCGGCTTAAAAGGTGAAATTCTAAATAATTATTCGTCAGTGACTCTATCTCAATATCAATACCAAAAACAAAAACCTAGCATCCAATCTCTGCCAAGACCACTCTTCTCAATCTTATCAACATCAGTTTCAGAAGGCTGTTGACTAGTTTATTTTAATATCTATTAAACCTTGAGCAGGCAGTGGCTGCGCGTAGCATCTGCTGTATCACAGATCAAAATCCACAACTACACAACCGAAAGTCAAAGCATTGTTTTGTGTTTATTACATAGGGGTTTAATTGATCTAATAGAGAACGGTGGGCAAGTTTTCAAATCTCATTCATGACAACAACTAATCTTCCAGTTCTACTCGCCTGCTTATCATTCCAGGTTATTTTGAAAATTTTTGTGTTTTTTACAATTAAGATCTTAATTACCAGTAAAGCATCATGGTCTACTATAAAATGAAGATTAGCCTATCAGTCATTTGTAAGCCACATTGGTCTAGTCAAGTATCATCATTCATATATTGATTACCTTGTTCCCTATTTTATAAGTAATTCTTTCCTGAGGGCCTGCCAAGATGTTAGCATCCCTTGGCATCGCCTTTCTTTCAGCCTCCATATGCACCTGAAGAAATCATCATATACCTAATTGTCAAGCTTTATCATGTCCAATTAGAAATGTGGAAGTCAATAACAACGGAGAATATTGAGCTCAAATTAAGTGAAAAATAAGGTTATAGAAACATAACAAATCAACCAGGCCATACTTGTTCTCTTAATGTAGCTAATAGACCATCATTCCATTGCTCTCCATCCAAACATACCTCTGCAGTAAAAAATGATGATGATGATGATGATAGTGATAGTAATAATCAAAGCAGAAAAATAACATACCATTAGTAAAGAAACATAAAGTTATCACAGAAACAAGTGAACAAAACAAACTGGATACGGATTGTCATTGAAATTAAAATCAATATGACGTAAACACACATTTATATGCTGAGATATGAAACTAACCAGCAGAACCTCCAAAACTGATCAATTGATGGAAAAGTGTGCGCACACAAACAGTCATGCCCACATGCAAACAAATCAGAAAGAAGAGCAGCAGGGGAGAATGCTAAATGGAATTGTACCAGCTTGACTAAGGTGCAACAAAGCACACAAAAAGGATTGAATTCAGACAGAGCTAGATACTGTCCACTATATAAGCATTTGAAAAACATCAAACTTAAAGCTACCTTCAGTTTGAGAAGCCCATGCAGCTTCAAAATCTTTCTGCAGACGCTCAAATATTGTCTTGTCAGATTCCCTATGAATGCAGCACATATCCAAAAATGTCAGTTACTACCGCATGAACAATCAATGAACATTCCGGAGCTCTACCCTCAATAAACATATTAACTGCATGGGCTTCTCAAACTGAGCTTAGGATTGTGGGATCCCAAATAAACACATTGACTCTTCTGTCATAAACTGAACTGGAAAAAAAAAAATGAAAGCTTCAGCTACTTTGTACCTAGAAAGACGCTCTGTCAGGTCTCCATGCCTTTTTAGCAAACTTGCAACTATCATGAAAGGAGCAACAAAAATCTTCTGAGTCAATTAGATAAAGAAAGCAATGCCAGTGGAGATTCAAGACTTACACCTAGTTCTTGTAGTCTCCAATTGAATATCACCATCTTGCATAAAATTCTGATAAATATCATAACCCAATTAGTATTTTGAAAATACAAAGGAGACGCATGTAACTGAAAGGAAATTTCAACGTCTTTTATTGATTAAATTGAAGATATCGAATCCCATAGTATTAAGTACACAACAAACAACAAGAAATATCAAGATCATTTACCAGATAAAATCAAAAGGAAAAAAGACCTACAATCCATGTTACCACTTTCAGATAAAACCCCCATTTTTTCATGATCTATAAGGTTCCCAAATCGCCACAAGGTTTGAATCAATCAATTAAATCAGACCTTCAACATAGAAAGGTGCATAGGTTCCATTCCCTAGATTAGGCAAATCCATGAAAAGCAAAATTAAACCTTTTCATCCTAATACATTTCATTTCTTCTCTTTTCTATTTGAAGTAGAGCAACAGGAACCAAAAGCCATATAAAAACTATCTCTTTCATTTCAAAAATAACTAACAAACTGTCATGAAGGTAATCGCTTTTACTTTTATGATAATGTTAGCAGTCGGCATTGACTTGTTGCACTCATCTATTCATCTAGAGAATTTTTATCCGTCTTGTTTTAAAATCAAACTCATGAGTATTGAACTGTGAGAATGAGAACAGGGCAGGCTGCTTCATCCACATTTTTCTTATTTGCAATCAAACAAGGCAATATTATCAACAATAAGGACCTTTTTTATGAAAACAAAAGAAATAATAAAATTCCTTCCACACAATCATCCAAACCAGCACTTATGGAGCTGGATCATTATTACTTCTCCCATAATTGAGTAAGGCCGCCCAGCAAGGTACTCAAATTGCTGCATCATTCCACACATTTGAAATATCAGTTCAAAAAGGGTGACATAATAATAATTAAAGAGGAAATAAGCATGGTTAAAAGATTGAAAAGGGAAAGTGATTGATTCAAGCATTTACAGAAAATAAGCGAGGCAAAAGTGAGAGAAGGGGTTTATGAACTTGCATAGGAGGCAAAACGATATTGCAATTACAAGCAACTAAAAGCACTAAAACCCAGACTTGATAACATCGTAGTTTGTCATCTCAGCTGGTTATTCAATTGGCCTTGTCTAGAGGCGTTAGGGATCTCAATTGTAAGGCAATTGGAAAAATAAAAATAAAATCCCATGAATTCCTGCATTAACATCTACATTAAGTAACTAGATTACTAGAGTCTCTAAAATCAGCATAAAGAAGTTGGAACACCTGCTCATTTCCTTTCTCCAGCTGCGGAAATTAATAAAAAAAAAAAAGCTTCAATGAAATGATAATTCCATGAGCAATAGTTAGGCAGAAATTCTCCTAGAGAAAATGTAGTCAATTATCATTTTTCTTTCCTTAATTATATGGGCTATTATACAGAAGCTTCAACTATTATATCAAATGTCATCCTACACAGGCATTGTGTTTAAATTACCAAAGAAACACCAAGATTTACATCAACAAACAATATGCTAAGCTTGACCAATGAGTACTGCCAATAGCATTTTATCTACGAAATCTCCTTCAGTAGATTGGTACCATCATCGCATAATATCTATTTCTTGGGCAGAAGCATTCATAAAGCATAAATTGCATGATACTAAAACATAAGAACGTCAATGCGGGGCCAAAGAGGAGGAGGAAGAAGAAGAACGATTTAGTCTTTTAACAAGATAGGCCTTGTTTTGGCCTGCGTGGAAACAAACATGACAGACCTTGCGAGATGAGTCGCCGGAAAAAGGGTATTTTCTGGGTTTCTTTCTGGGGGAATCTTCAATGTCGCTCTCCATCCCTCACTTTTCACTTTTCAGCGACGGCGATGAGAAGGGCGGAAAAAGCTATTAACTTGGAAATTAAAGTTATACACTGAAATAGTTGCATCACAGAAACGTTAAGCCGAAATAAAGTTTTAGAGGTATTCAGATAAAATCAGATCATGATTTAAAAAAAAACTTCTAGATAATAAATTTTTAAAAGAATAGATTTTATAAAAAATAATTTTAATAAAATGAAAATATTTAGATAGTTATTATCCAAAACACTTTTTTATATATAAAAATTACTAAAAAAAATAAGTTAATACAATAATTATATATAGATTTTATAATATATTTAAATTTAAAAAAATAAATTTGCTGATAATATATTTTTTTATCAATATAATTAATAATATATAAGAAATTTTAATTAATAATTAATTAATTTGTGCATATATATATTTATAAAAAACACAAAGGAGTTAATTATTTTTGTAATATTATTACATGGTATGATTAGTATTGCAAAGCTCTAATGAGCCACAATGAAGTGACTCTTGAATCATCTGCTCAATGTGATCATCTTCAAGAGCTTGCAGCTGATGAAACTGCCGTTCCTCCTCCTTCTCCTCCTTCTCCTCCTCCTCCTGTTTGAAGCTCTCTGGCGACGACATGGCATTGGCGGCGGAGGAAGATATTGAGTGAGAGAGGTCTATGTATGCCGTTGCTGTTTGTTGATTTGAAGGGAAAGAGAAGCCATGTGGCACATTTGCAGGAGGTTGGCTGTGAGGGATGGAAAGAGAAAGCTAGAGGAAGAAGAAGGAGAGAGATTGGTTATGGCCTGAGGGCCACACATGAGCCTCGCAACTTCATCGTAAGCTCTGGCTGCATCTTCTGCTGTTTCGAATGTCCCCAGCCATATTCTCCTCTTCCTGCATCATTTGGTATCATATTAATTAAGATTTGAAATTAAAAAGTAAGAGAGAGAGGGAGATTACAAGATGGGGTGACGAATCTCAGAGACCCAGGAGCCCTAGTGCCTCTGCCGCACTCCATGATACCGTTGTTGCGGCCTCACCATATCCTTACTTCCAGTGAAACGTTTCGGACTCTGAAGAAAGGTGCTTGTGATTGAGCAGGAGCAGAGGAGGAATGGCTTTTGATTTCTCAAGAGCGAAGGACCAAAGGCGTAATGAAGAGAATGAAAAGAAAAAATGAATAATTAAGGACTGTTTTATCATATATTATTGGAGTTTTTTTTTATTTGTATAATCATCGCACCAAAAAATCAATCTGTTTTATCCAAAATCATGATTTTGGGTTCCAAAACTTTAGTTTTACCTCAAAACCATAGTTTTTCTATATGTCTCACTGTTTGGCAATTTTTTTCCTCAAATCATAATTTGGGATGATAACCAAACAGGCCTTTGTTGAGAAATTACTACCTCCAACTTCTCGTGCTTTTGTCATGCATGTAATTAAAGCTCGCTAGAGTATATTTTTAGTATTTTAAATTTACACAACATTTTATTTTAGTTTCTTAATTTAAAAAAAGTATATTTTTATTTTTTAAATTTTAAAATCATCAACAAAAAATAATAATATTAAGATCTTATATATTAATAAAATATTTTTAAATGCTAACATATTAAATTTAATTTTTATAAGAATCATGATTATTAAAAAAATCATTTAATACTAATAATTTTAGTACTAAAGAATTAAAAATATATTTTTAAAAATTAAAAGACAAAATTAAAATTTTGTTTAAGGATAAAAAATCAAAAGTATACTTTGGCTTTAAATAAAATGGCGTCCTTGTACATTTAATGCGGATGAAAACGACCTTTCTCTTCTTTTTTTCAACCAACATTTAATATTTTCTTTGATCATATTGCATTTCGACGTTGTCAGGTTTTACGTAGAAGAATAATTCTTCTAGAAATATCTTTTACACACAAGCTCAAATATAAAAATATCACAATCACATAGTTCATACCATTTTTGGATTAAGCGGTTAATCAACTTGTGATATGTACCCCCGTAGACGAAACAGTCAAACAGCTACTTTGGTAATAATGGTTGACAAAATATCCCTAAGCTACGGGGCATTTTTTGACTGTTGGCAAAAGGGGGGAAAAAAAAGGCATGGCTTGGCTTATTGAATACGAAATACCCAGTACTACTTCTGGTTACCTAGGTACCTAATTTATGTGTAACAAATGGGGGTTGAGTCTAACAAAAAGACCCGTCCCTTATAACACAATGAATCAAAATTTAAACCTTTGTTAAGATTGACTCTAATAAGACGATATCTATGCTTTAGCAACAATGAAAAAACTAATTTACATGTATTAAAAAATTAATTAAACTATCTATAGTATATGTATGTTGTTTTTATTAAAATATCCTTATCAATTACACATATTAAAACTATCCATTAATAGAGTCTCTTTAACATTACCATATAAATTACTTGAAAACAAAATAAATAAACATTAAAAACGAAATGAATTGAGATTTTATATTTAAAATCAAATTAAATTTTTAACTAATTATTATATTAAATGCCAAAGAGAAATAGTATCCTCTCTCATTTTCACCACCCCTAGGTTTTTTTGTAGGTTTTTTTTTTACCCCACCGGAGCACCAACATTCAAAGAAAGCGTGCATACATAGTTAGCCTAACTCCATACGAAGGTTGGCTATGGTTGACCTAACGTAGCAGCATAAAGACCAAATCAATGGGCTTATATCTTCACTGATTTTGCCCTCTCTCTCTCTCTTTTCCAACCGTGCCTTTTTTTCTTTTTTTTTTCCTGGTTTTCATGAGCATACTTTATGTTTGATCACAGGGGGGAAATGGAAACAGGGACGGAGGATAAAGATATTGAATACTCCACACGAGTGAGTGCGTGCGTGTGATCATACGATTGCGAAGGATGTGTGTAGGGTAGATTTGATTTTTTTTTTTATGCCTTTTTTCATGTATAGATATATTTCTATTGAAGGTAATTCTGTTCAATCAAGCACATAAATATGACAAAAATAATCCGGTAACCATATGAATATTCCGAATAAAGAGAGACATAGAACTTGTTATTTATTTATTATGAATTTTTTAATAATTTTTTTCACTTTAAACTCGTTATTGATTTTTCTTTTTTCTTTTCAATTGATTCTTGTCTGATTTTCTGGCAAGCGGGGAATTTTTTTTTTTTTTCAATCAAACAAACAAATGGTGTACAGAGCAAAGCAATTAGTGCCAACAACAGAAGAAAAGATTCTTGTTTGATTTTGTCCTAGCTCTCTAATTTAACTTTTTACATGAATCTACCATATGTATTTTGTTTGGCTTTCCATTGTTTGCATGGCTTCTGATGCTTAGTACTTGTTTGGAAATTAATAACAAGACATTCTTATGTCCTGCGAAGCAAAATTTTCATCACATATTTATTTATTACAATGCGAAGTATTTCAAAATAAACTAGTTCAAAAGAAAAATTGTCTTGACTAAGACCAACGATATTGTGCCAATGATTCTTATAGGGTGTTTGAATGGAAACTAGAGAGGTGTGTGGATGTGTATAAAAGTACATTTTAAAAGCATTTTTTTTGTAAATCGAGATAAATTCTTCTACATATTTATTTTGTATAGCGTAAAATCACTTCTAAAATTAAAGTTTGGTTTTTATCCAAACACCCCTTAAATCATAGTTTTAGAAGTGATTTTACAGTGTACAAAATAAATATACAAAGAAATTTATCTCAATTTATAAATAAAAAATGTTTTTAAAAAGCACTTCTTATTATATCCAAACAAACCCCGATAAGCTGGTATTATTAGTGCTTCCCAAACAAGGCTAAGAAGCAGCTAGGTTCGATCCCGGCAATCTGTACAGTATTTTCCTTTCTTACATAATTAAAAAAAAAAGACTTGGGGGTGTTTGGATGAAACCAAATCATGGTTTGGAAAATAGCTTCTGAAGAATAGATTATAGGGAGAATAGATTTTGTGAAAAAGTAATTCTGAGAATTAAGAATGTTTGGATAGTTGTTATCAAAAGCACTTTTTATATATACAAATTACTAAAAAAAGTATAAGTTAATATGATAATTATATAAAAAATAGATTTTATAATATATTTTAATTTGAAGAAATAAAATTATTAATAATATATTTTTTATCAATATAATTCATAACACATAAGATAATATAATTAATAAATAATTAATATATGTATATATATTTATAAGATACAAGATTAAACAGGTTTATAAAAAAATAATTAAGGGATGTTAAAGTCATATTATTGTTGAGATCTGCTTTGATAGGTACAATCATACTCTCCAATTTGAACTAGAAGCAGAAAAAATTCACTTCTTCTGAAACCATGGTTTTGAGCTCCAAATCATCGTTTTAATCTAAAACCATGATTTGTCAAAAAAATTTCCTGTTTGGCAAGTTTGAAACCCAAACCATGATTTAGGTTCCAAAACTAGGGTTTTAAAGATTGGCCAAACAAGCCTTTAATTTGATTTTACAATTTAGCAAGGAAGTGTGGGACATTTGTTTTTGTTTTGGGGTACTTTATAGCTCAGAATTGTTAACATCATGCCATGCAGATTTAAGATGAGTAATGTTCGTTTTTGTTAAACTTATTACCATACTTCGTCTCATTATTTTTTGATACACTCATTTCATCTCATTATCTTCTCCGAGCAGCAGGTGACCTTAAGAGCCCGCGGGAAAATAAAATTGAATGATAAGCACTGTGTCTGTTTGGAGCTACGTTTTTGTTAAACTTATTACCATACTCCGTCTCATTATTTTTTGATACACTAATGTCATCTCATTATCTTCTCCGAGCAGTAGGTGACCTTAAGAGCCCGCGGGAAAATAAAATTGAATGATAAGCACTGTGTCTGTTTGGAGCCACGTTTAAGTGGCTTTTAGGATTAAAAGTATTTTTAATATGTTTGAGTGTGTTTGGAAGAGTTTAAAAGATTAAGAACTTATGCCAAAATCACATACTTAAGCCAAAAGCTAAAAATTGCAACTTATAGTGTTGGAAAAGTAGAGAGAGAAAGACAAAATGTGGGTCCTATTTCTTTTACTCAAACAGACTTATTTTTACTCAATCATAATCCAAACAACTTTTTACCAATCTCACTTTTACAAACTAACTTTTTAAAATTTTAACCCAAACACAATTCACCTTATCCAATTTAACTTTTATCTAATCTTACTTTTCTAAAAGTCAAACTAGAAATAAGTTATTTTTTTCATTGCCAATCCAAACCTACCCACTAATCATCTAATCAAGAACGAGGGAAAAAAAATCATACCATTGAGATAGTAATATAACTTTTAATGGTAAAAAATAGGAGAAAACGCAGCTATTTTTCTTCTACTAATACTGATATTTTCAAATAAACTCATAAAGCAATACTCTTTTTATTATATTTATAAGTCATGTTCAAAATATTTCATTAAAATAAAGAAAAATTTTACACATGCTATTAACTTTATTTTAAAATTTATTAAGAAAAAAATCACATAATAATAAATAAAAGGCAGAATAGTAGATTTAAAATATGCACCTCAACATATAGACAGGGAGAGAGAAACATATTATGAATACACACAACTACATTTACAGTTTTAACACGAGCGCACGTGGTCTAATCATTGACTGCAATAAGGATTACATTAGGATAACATAAAAATTTGAATTTTTTATGACTCAAGATTTATAATTTTATCATCATCAAGTAAATATCAAATAATGTATACATAAAAAGGTCGAAAAGAAAACAGCTTTCAAATAATAAGCCGCACCCCAAATATAGTACGAAAAGAACTTACAAGTATAGGGAATTTTGAAAATTTTAAACAAAATGAACAAATCAGGAAAAAGAGATAAATTGTTGCTAATTAATTTTTAATTTAATAAGGGAAGGGGAAGACCCGGTGAGGGACGCCGAGAAAGACGAGTGCGAAAGAGAAACCAAAAAGAAGAAACAAAGACGGACAGTATTAGGATTGGCCTTCAGCAGCGATCGTGCTTACACAAAGCCAAGCTCTCAATATAAATCATCAACCCAATAATCCTTCACCAAAAAAAGAAATTATCAAACTTTGAGAGGAAAAACAATTAGATACACTGCGAGCCGAAGCCGAAGCTTCCAAGATTCGAACCCAGTGAGTGAGTTTCGATTTCTATGCAATTCTTCAACTCCAAGGTCAGAGTTCGATCAATGTACAAGCCCTTTGTTTTCCCGCCACGCACTTGCAAGCTTTAGTACTTGCTTTTCATTGTCCTATGTTTCGTTGCAATTTGCAATTTCGTTTTTCGGTTCGTTCCCTGTTAAACTCAATTTTTTTCCAGCTCACTGATCTCCTTCCCCCAACTTCAAATTTTGGAATTTGAAGTTCAAAGCTTTTGAATTTCGCGAAACAATGAGGGTTTAAATCGCTGCAGTGATTCAATGTCCGTTTTGTGATGTTCGAGAGAAGCAAGGTGTCTCCAACCCTGGGTTGGTGATTCAAACTTAAGATATTGATTTGCCGCACAATTCAATGAATTAAGTTTGATTTGCGGAATATCACGCCTTTGCTCAATCAGTTCCATCTCGTTTTCATCCCTAGGGTTTTGGTGCCGGGTACATAGATTTGATTTTGCGTTGAATGGTGTATTTGCGGGCAAATTTTGGGATTATTTCGAGACAACTGTTATTCCGTTCAGAATTCGAAGTTCCGCCTGGGTTACTGTTGTTAGTACGGTTATACATCTGGCCATTCCGCCATGCAGAGCTACGCGTAGTTGATCTGTTTTAAATCATATGGGGGATGGGAGCTGGAGAATTCTTTGGAAACATAATTAAGTGGAATCTGACTCAAATTAGGGTTACAGGTGGGTGGGATATTTTGTGATTTTGTGGGCGGTGTATGAATCTACTTGTTGAGAAATGCAACCCCGGCAGAGCTCAAGAATTGATTTGGCTGAATTGAAGGCACAAATGATAAAGAAGGTTGGAGTTGACAAGTTTAAACGGTACTTTTACTACTTGGAAAGGTTTATTAGTCACAAGCTGAGCAAGCCTCACTTTGACAACCTTTGTAGTCGCATACTTGGCAGGGAGAATGTTCCATTGCACAATCACCTTTTCAGATCAATGCTGATGAATGCATGCCAAGCCAAGACCCCACCACCAATCCAACCATCTGGTCCTTCAAGGTTTGGAACACATGTTACCAACATATCTCCTGGTAGAGAAGATGGGCATGAAACAAATGGCGTCACTTTACAGAATCACATTCAAAATGCACCAATTTGGTCAAATGGGGTTTTACCAGTATCACCACGTAAGATGAGGAGTGGAATACGTGAGCGGAAGCATAGAGATAGACCAAGCCCTCTTGGACCAAATGGGAAGGTTGTCTCTCATCAATCACTAGGTACAGAAGACAGTGGCGGTAAGGGTGACATGGAGAACGGGACTCTCACTCCATGCGATTATCAAAGACCTGTACAACTTCAAGCTGTTGCTGAGTTACCTGAAGATGAAAGAAGAGATGCTGCTCAGCAACCTGCTAATAAACCAATAATACATGGAAAAGGGGTGACTGAAGCTTTAACTGAAGATGGGGAAGAGGTGGAGCAGTCACACTACTTAAGTTTCTCTAGGAGCCCCCTGCTAGCTCCACTAGGGATTCCATACTGCCCAGCAAGTGTGGGTGGGGCCCGCAAAGCTTTACCAGTGGCTAGCACTGGTGATTTCGTTAGCTGTTATGATAGTGGTTGGTTGTCTGACTCTGATACTTTGAGAATGCGCATGGAGCAGATTGTTGCAGTACAGGGTCTTGGGGGTGTTTCTATGGAATGTGCCCATATGTTGAATAATGTGTTGGATGTTTACCTGAAGCGGTTGATCACATCCTGTGTTAATTTAGTGGGGGGTAGGTCTACAAATGCGCTAAGGAAGCCCCCTGTTCAGAAACAGCAGGTTCGGGGCACGGTCATCAATGGTATGTGGTCAAGTAATCATTTACATGTGCAGAGTGCTGGTGGAGTATCAGAAACTGTTCCTGAACACATACCGCCACTGCCATGCTCAGTATCTTTGCTTGATTTCAGAGCTGCCATGGAGTTGAATCCACAGCAACTTGGAGAAGATTGGCCATTGCTATTGGAGAAGATTTCTATGCATGCATTTGAGGAATATCTCTTTTTATGAAGATTTGTCCAAGCAAAGGCTGGTCTGGTTCTTCTGGTTCTATTGGCTTGGCCATGGTTGCTGATCATCAGTGCGCTCAATATGTTGTCATTGCCAGGGCGAACCATTTGACCCCCTGAACTATAAACCCTGACCCTTCCAGGGTGATACACTGGTAGTGGAGCTACAGAATGTCTTATACCTGCTATTTGCAGGCCTGGACAGATCAGAAATCTATTTAACTGCAACCACGGGCACAGTCAAATCAAATGCCCAGGACTGGTTGCTCTGTTGTATCTTTAGCATTGGAGTTGGCTGTATTTGTGATAGCTAGAGATTCCAAGCTTTTTGTTTACCATACAGCCAATGAGAAGGAAAACTAAGAAAGTTTTGCAGAGATACTGTTGTGTTGCTGGGATCAAGGTACTATCACATGTACAAGAGCTACAGGATCGCTCTGTATGTATTTTTAGAATCAGAAGATTGATTGCAATTCAATATCAATAACACATTAACATCTATTGAAATTTTCTTTCAAGCTTTCTTTTAACCACATGATGCTTGATTTCACTGATATTTGGAGTAGTGTTTTGTCTTTCAGTTTTCTCTTGCAGTTGTACAACTCTACGTCTTGCTTTAAATGCAATCATGTTAAGTGTTAATATTAATTAAAGCAGTATGCAAAGTCAGTTTTTGTAGTGTAGATTTAGACATGTCCATTTGGAGTTTCATTAGATTTAGAATTAGATGAACTCAATGTTTTTGTTAAAATTATTTTGATGCCGTCATCTAAAACTCTATTAATGAGTAATGACAAGAGTTTTTTTTTTTTTTTTCCTTTGGCAAAAGTAATGCATTGAGTTTTTTTTTTTTTTTTGGGGGGGGGGGGAAGTAATGTATTGAATTTGTAGTTGCAGATTAGGGTATGGTAATTTTGTGTAATCAGGATCAAGAACATTTTTGGAAACTTCTGGAATTATTGGCAAAGTAAGACTAAAGTTTGTGAAAACCCAACAGGAAAAATTACAGGGGACAAAACACATTTGTATTCAATTTCTTTTTCCCCCTATTTAGTGGCTATTTATTTGCCTCAACGTATGTAAACCATGCTGGGATTAATGTGTTGAATTGTGAATAATAGTGCTGAAAATCCAGCTAATTAATCGTAATTATGGAGATTCAGTTATGGTTGTGGAATTTTTGTGCAAATGACCTTGTTGGATATTGTTTATGGACGCATTAGAGGCATGAAAAAGGTGTCCTTCCTGTTGAATTGTATTATCCCGTCAAACACTTTGAGTGTTAACGCTTTTTATTTGTTCCTGGGAGTCCTTATGCAAAGTGATGAGCATGCAACGGGTCATAATATTCTCTTAGACAGGATTTCCATGTCTTCTTTGAATTTATAAAATAAATTTTAGCATTTGCCTTGTTATGCTATGGTAATGATTCCTAACAACAGTAACTAACGCAATAAAGGATAGAGATAATTTTATAAACTTGTAACAAGTGTTCAGGTTTGCAACCCCACGAAGATAGAATCTTTATATATTTTTAGTTGTGGCATGCAAAAGGCCTTGAATTAAACTTGGAATACTTGTATGATATGAAAATTCAAACTGATTCAACATCAGATTAACTGAAGGTCAGACTGATATTCTGCTTATTCTTGCATGAATTATACCTGTTGATTTTGAATTTTAACGTTGTTCTGCACTGAAGTATATATAATAAAATGAATGACTAATTTCCTATTTCAACTGTGATTGTTTGGTTTTCTTTTACCAGGGGTAATTAAGAATAGTACTTGATCTTACAGGAGAAAGATAAGCTTGACTGTTATCCAGCTTGGCAAACGGTATTATGATAAGAGCTGCTATCCGATGTATTCAGGAACATCATGGATGCTCATTAATTCTGCGTTAACAGGAGCATGCTAATGAGCATATAATTGAGGTTTTCTTGTTCATTGGAATTTCACATTCCACCTAATTCATTGCTGAGTAATTGGCTTTTGCCCTTCCTTGGCTTTGCTGGGGTTTTCTCTTTTATCTATGGCCAAGAATCGCTCACTTCTTTGTTTGGATCAAATCAGTGTTGTAAATTCCTCACTCATGTATATTAATATTTTGACTAATTTATTTCTATTAACCAGAACATTGAAGTTGAATTTTGTTTATTCTGTTTGACGTGATTTGCAATATTCATTCCTGGGCGTCTTGGCATTTTTTCTTTAAAACGGTTTTTTGTTTTTGTGTGTGGGGGGGGGGGAGTTGGGGTGGGGGTTATGGTACCGCTGTGATTTTTATGGTATATTTGTAATAACTGGATTGCGGGGTTGTGCATTATATGGACTTTGAGGTAAGTTGTACTATTTATGGCTTATGAATAGTGAGGCTTTATGTGATTTTATATTATACAGATTTTGTGAGAGAAAATCACATATTGCTTTAAGACTGGGGAAGATTGCTGCTTATAACTTCCATAAACAATTGCATGGACATTAGTTCTGGCAATTTTCTTCCTGAAGTTTCAGAAATATGCAACTAGATACTTGCGTCCGTATATTACCCACGTGTTGTCAGTCATCATCCCTAAGTCCATGATTATTAACAAAAAGGATGGACAGAAATTGCTATCCACACAGCTCACATTCAGGTGGATAATTGATGAAGCAAAAGTTCAGCCAATGGGGTTGTGGTTGAAACCGGTAAAATGCAAACGAACCGCTTATGTAGTTATGTCTACATATTTGGTCCCTTATTTTGAATAAATTGAAGTCTGAATAGATGCTAGGGGAATACTGGCATAGTTGAAAAATCACCCCGGTTCAGGCGCAGATGATTACTACTCTACCTTACATTAGTTGCCATATTTCATTGCAAGGTTATGTTCTACTTAATTTTCCAAGTGCGGCAGAAGATGAATGGCCTGAAATGAGAGAGCTGCTCTCTGGTTGCTCTGTTTTACCTACTGAGTTCCTTTTCACATTGCTATTCAGTCATAGAATATTTTGTAGTCTGCAGCTTGGGCTATTGTTTTGAGGCATTTTCAGGTTGGCATGGCGATCGCCGTGGTGAAGGTAACAGCTGCAGGAAATGAGAACATACAGTGAGTTAGTAGTTGGTTTTAAAAAAAAAAAAAGTGATTTCTCGATCAGCGGCTAACAGGTGTTTATCTGCGTGTACTTATATCCTGTGAGTAAATTTAAATATTCATATGAATAATGAAAGTGTAAATTTGTTGATATTGGGCTTGCGGTTCAGTGTACGAGTTTGCTGTCTAGCGAATCCCTCTGTTTCGTTGTAAGGGAGGGGAGGTGGAAGATTTTAATGAGTTAGATTTACAAAAATAAAAATAATAAGTGAGGTTAAAAGTGTTTAATTTTTCTTATTATTTTTTATATTCTCTCTTTATTTTATAACCTCAATTCCTCTTCAAGCAGAGTTAGAGTTGTACATAAGTGAATTGCCGAACAAGGATTTGTCACAGAGTTTCAGAGTTGTATTCAAATTCTACCATGGAGTAAATACGGGCAAGGAAGTTGCAGTGACATGGAATTGTAGTTGTACAGTAGAAACAGTAGGCCGTAGGTTCTGTTTTTGGGGAGAAACCCTTGGTTGGCCATGTCAGGTGTTCATATCATTGTTACTTCGCTTCAGTTCAGATGTTTCTTTTTCCTGCTGGCTTATGAGAACAATAAGATGTTTTGGATTTCATGTAGTTTAAAGGTTTCAATCTTGTGTTACATGGTATGTCAGCCGTCTTAAATCTATATATTCCAAGAGGGTGGAGTGGGACTTATGTGAAATGGACAGTCGATATATCTTTAGATAGCACATGACCAAAATTCTTTTGCACCCACAGCGAGGTGCTATTGCTGAGTCAGGCATATGAATATTCTCTTCATTCCGTCATTGAGGCACATATGACAATTAGTTCCGACCAGATTGAATTAAACATAATTGCTTATTAAATGATAGCGGTGTTTTGCTTATCAGACGTATGTTTGGTGAAATCTTAATAAATGTGATTTACTATGTGAATTTCAGATGCGCCATTTTATGGATCAGTATTTATTTAAAAGCTCTTTTAATGAAAAGCGCTGTTTTGCTTACATAGATTAACAATTTTGTGTGCCTATCGTTTTCCGTTAGGGCTATTCAGTCTCGTGAGATGCTGCGTTACTTGTAACTCCAAAATTTGCTTTTGATTTGATTCCCGGTGGCTTGGCATTTTCGCTCTTTTGTTCCCTTTGAGAAAATGTATTCATTTTTTGGCCTCTTATGAGGGAGTTCGTGCTGATGTTTTCAAATTTCGGATAAGTCATTATTATAATGCGCGTTCTTCTTTTTGTTGTTCAGAAAGCATCGGAAAATGTTTTCCTCTTCCAAATAATCATTACCTGGGAAAACGTGCACAGCACAATAAAAATACTGGAAAATGACAAAAGGGGTTAATTCCACTTTGTCTTCAGTTTCACTCCTTACTGTGTGAAAAGGCAGAGAAAAAAAGGACTACGATTTAACCGTTATAATTCAACTTGACAAGAAATTGCAGTCTGAAGCGGAGCGGCTTCGTTTTATTACTTGATGAATAATCGGGACAGATGGTATGGCTATGTACAAGTGAGACGCGACCACTAAGAAGCGATAAGAAGTAAATATGATTTTGTACAGAGAGGGGACAGAAAGACGAAACAATGGAATGGATTGATTCAAGGGGTTGAAGTTGAGGAAGACGAATGTGATGGTGCCGCAGACGCTTTGCAAATAGGACACCAATTCTTGAGGCGCAGCCATTGCTGTATGCACCCCACATGATATCTATGCTCGCATTGCAGACTCCCCACTTCCTCTGCCTCCACATATTCCTCCTGCAATTTCAACAGTAAATATATCTTCTTCACTTCTTGTTCTGAAATTAATCTACGGTGAATGTCCAGTTGGAGGCCATCTTTTAGCAGGTGTTTAGATTAGCTTATTTCAGCTAATTTTGCGTGCGAGAAGAGTTTTATCTTGTAAAAAGTTTAAAAAGCCTTTTTTTCCCCCTAAAAAAAGTGATTCTGGCCCAAATGGATATCATCCACGAAGAAGGCTTCAGTGAATGTGAGAAAGTACCTGGCAGATGCTGCATTTTATGTCATCATTATCCTCATTGCAGCTCTCAGCTGCATCATCTGAAGAGGCAGGTTGATGGAAACTTCTCTTTAGGCATTCTGTAAGTGCTTCCTCTGTTAGAGCTGTGCTCACAGAACCCATCCTTTCTTCCAAAGCCAGGAGTTCCTGTCATTTGCATGGAAAATATTGGCGAAAATAGCTAAAAATAAAATAAAAGTATAATTTTGAATCCTTTATCAGAGCCATCTCCCTCATAATCATGGCTAAATTGCCAGCTTCTCTCTTGAAAAAGAGAAGAGGCGTCTTTTTACCAATGAATAGCATTTAAATTATATTCTCAATCTAGCTTTCTTCTTATTCTTATTTTTTCCTTTGGGACCATCATCACACGCCTGTTTGAAGAAAATTATTTTCATTCATTTTGTGGGCAGAGTCCATAAACAACAATATTCTTTTCCCCCTTTTTTGGGGTAAAATTGAAAGGGAAGTAGATTTAATAACAAACCTCGTATGACATGTTATCAATATCCAATCGCATGTCTCTATGTTGATCATAGAAGTTTAGTCCATTAAGGAACAAGTTGGTTTCCAGTAAAAGAATTTGCTGCAAAGACACAAAACGTTAAGTGTCAGTAAATCGATTAATTTAAGTCTAGTCAATGTGTAGAATTACCTCATGGGTAAGATCTTCATCTTGTTCAATCCTCTCGAGTGCCAATAAAACCTATACACATTTATCAAACAGTGCCCTTGTAATCTATCATTAAAGAACCTGATTTTTTTTCCCAAAAAAAAAAAAAAAAAAAACTTATGTACTCCTATACTTCAAATGGAAGATTACCTCTGCAATGCCATCCATGTTGCAGCGTCGGAAACTGTCCCGGTTTATAAGAGAACGAGTGATTCCATATTCTGAAGGGGATGGGGGCAAAACACCAAATAACTGCTCACTGCTACTACCCGGTCTACTGTAAGATCTTGGAATTCTCAGGGGAGTATTCAACGAGGAGTGATGTAATAAATCATGAGCATTAAGGTCACTGGAATGAGGCAAAGATGATATGGTAATAGGGGACTCATTGGGTGGTGCAGGGTTTTCATTTTCTTGGCTAGGAAGCCTTCCCCTGGCATGACCATTGAAAGATCTTCTAGTTCTAACTGATCCAATGTTGTTGTTATCCCTGTGAGGAGGCAAGTTTCTGGATATTCTTGAATCTGATATAGATATACCATTCCTGGAGCCAGAATGTTGTCCGTCCACTGAAGATCCACTCATCTTCTTACCTCTAGCAGAGCTACTTTCTCCTTCACAGTTTCTCTTTTTCATCACATCTTTCCTTCTATTCAGGGTTGAATCAGATGATGAACAGCCTGAAGGGATGACATCAGATATAGAATTGCATCTGAGGTTCCTCAAGCCATACCTGCTAACTCCTGAGCGTGTCACCGAGGCAGAGCTTTTAAAATCTTGACCATTCAATCCAGGCTTTTGACGAAGACTCCTCCTGTATGTTGTGTTTGATGCTACACTAGAGCTTCCTACTTCCATTGGCATGATATTAATAGACTCTGAACTTTCCACTCCAGCTTGAGGCCCTCTTTGAATTTTTTCAGGTGGTGGGATGAGCTCAGAAATTTCTGTTTCATCCTGTAAACTACTCGTTTCACATGCTGCAGTCTCTGATTGACAAGATAATGTTTTCCGGGGCTCTATAGGGGATTTTCCTGGGTTATAAGATCCAGGTAAAGTTCTAGAGGAACTTCCGATAGCTTCCTTACGACCTGAAGATCGGATTGGAGGCCTTGAAGATTTCCCTTTTTCAGATGAACTGAATTGAGCATTCTTTGGAGAATTCACTCTACTGCTGCAACCCGGTCGACTGCAAAACCGACCATTACGGTCCCTAGCATTAGCAGTATCTCTAAATACATGAGCCATCCCCTTTTTAGGTACTGCCACCCCATCTATGGCTCGTTTACCAGAATAATCATCCATCTGTCGCTTATTCAATTTAAATCTGCAAAACATCGATACGAAGTATTAAAAAGGCATCAGCTCATACGGAGCAACCATATCAGTCCAGAGACCAAAACTTCAGCATACTCGTCAAAAAAGAAATGGAAACGGCAGCAATGGTAAGCATCGTCCCTGACCATGACTATAGTCAATTTTTTTAAATTAATCTACTTCAACGTAAACCCAGAAACCTTCCCAACCTCTTCACGCAATACAAACATTTATTTCTTTTTTTTCCTTTCGTTTTTTAGGGGCTAGAAGCCCTCTTTCTTTTTGATTATTCTAGAGATATCAGAATCCATTACTACAGCAGCCAAGGGGTTATCCAAAATATTCCGAGGTTAGAATCTCTCACCAAAGGGCTTCAGATGAATCTACAGACAAGATGATGCCGATTGATTTTATCAAATTAATGTTACATTTATACACCCTAATATCATTGTTTCCCAGTGGATTGGATATCATTCACTTGAGATTTTAGTATTCCGAAAGGACCAGTATACTCAGGTAGAATAAACTTTTAGCCCAAAAGAACAAAAAGGAAGAATAAAGCAATACATGATGAAGGCGAAAAAACGCTTTGATCAATTCAATACCAATCTGGAATGCCCATGAACAAAGCTATGAGATGAGCGAGTTCAAGAAGGTAGTCTGCCATCTAGTCGTCAATAAGAAAGAAGAATAACGAAGTTTTGGAAAGTTCATCATTCCTGGAATCATCGGATATAAATAATAGAGCAGAAGAACGCTAATTTTTTTTTTTGGACAGAAGAAGAACGCTAATATTATTTGTTGTTGTTGTTGTTTCTTATTACTATAATAACAAAGTTGAATAAGGGAGAAAGACAAGGACTCCTGATAGCCACATGCTCATATTTCGTCCCAAAAAAAGAGGGTCGCTTCGTTTTTTAAGGACGCTTCAATCCAATTATTCTCCACACAATTAAGCTCTACACAAGACCATCTCCGTGATTTCAGAGTTTCCATAGGCTGAAACCACTCACCAAGAGAAACTATTAAAAAGGAGACCAGCTCTTCAGAATTCTAGCTCCTCCATATCCCCAAGCACATAAAAAGGGGAAAATCATAGCCAGAATCAATCGAATAGGCATTAACAAGATAACGACTGAATATGCAGACATATATTTTACATAAAAAAGAGAAGAGGCCCAGGAAACAAAACCGATATCGAATTAACCAATCATTTGGCCGATTAAAAATGAAGAAATTGATAAAAGGGGACTGGACCCAGATGGAAAACCAACAAAACAAGGTGGCTACCTTTGTGTGATTCTCGTTTGTAGAGAGGGAGAGAGAGAGAAGAGAGTTCTGAGACTTGAGAGTTCAGAATCCTGCAGGCTTCAGAGAAAGAAATGAATGAGTCGTAACTTTTGAGAGAGAGACGAGCAACAACATGGAGAGGGGTGGAAGATCCTGTGGTCCAATACGAATGAGGAACAGTTTATAAGGTGAATATAAAAGTGTTCGGGGAAGCTGAATCGAAAAGGGAAAAACAGAAATAGTAGAAGAGGCGTCGTAATTGAAAAAGGTGGTTGAAGCAAGAACCAAACCATTGTCGGCCGTCGGATCCCAACTCCAAAGAGGAAATCCCATTTCTGCCCGTCGACTTGATTCAATAAGAACTCTCTCTCTCTGTGCTTTTTCGGTTTGGCTCCACCTGCTCTTCGCCGCCTAACCCACCACTTTTTTTTTTTTTGCTTCTCTTCCTTTTTTTTCATGGCAGCAAAACCTTTTTATGATCTGGTGTTATTTTAATAATTTAAATAAATTATTTCCTTTCATCATAAACGTTTTTGGACAAATGTCATAATTAAAATATTCAAGAAAAAAGACTAATTAACAACATGTAACTTAATTGCATAAATTAAGTGATAGTAGTAAATCACTAAATCCCCGCACTCTTTGGAAGAGAAAGAAAGGGTTATGGAGTCCCATTAAACAGGTCATTCTCCCAGCAAGTATTTAATGCAGTTGCACGCTTATAGTTCAAATACGAGGTTTTTGGTTAAACTGGTATGGTATGGTATACTCCAGTGATCTTATTTATAAAGCAGAGAAAAAAAGTTTTTTTTTTCTATTTATAAATCACTTCATTAAATTTTCAGCGTGAATGTATTATTTTGTTTTCTATTTATTATGGTATAGGTAGTTATCTTCTTTGAAAGGTATATATATTAAATATGGGTAAAGTTAAAAAACTATTATATTTTAACGGAGTTAATACGTTTTAAGTGTTTTCTTTATTCATATAAAATATGTTGAAAGTTTCTTATAAATAAAATACTCTTATTTACCATAAGATCCGCTTTCAAAGATGAAATGGGAAAAAAAAAAAAGGGTCAGCATGTGGGATTAAGGTTATTGAGAAACAAGGAACACACCACAGTGATCTGCCAGGTCAAGAAAGGCATCATAAATTGGGCTGCAATAAATAAAAACAACAAAAATAATTACAAATCAATAACAGCCAATTAGTAAATTTCAATCTGAAGGCGACATCATTATTAATTATTATATGTGTCTCGAGTTTTTGTGTTTTTTTTTTTTTTGGTTAAGGCTAATCTCTCCACTTGAGATAAACCTGCACGTTATTTTCACAATGTGAGGAGTGACAATTAATGTAGGCGCACTAATTGTGACAACAAATGTGCGCTATAACGTAAATTAATTGGACAGCGGAACCCTCTTTTGATTTATTGAACATGATTCATCCCAATCACTGTTTTGATTCGTGCGTCATTGCTAATAGATTTTTACACGTCACCATATTATATAATAACCAGCCCAAAATTTTAATATGTGCTGTATTGGTTACAGGAAGAATTTGGATATCATCTTAAAACACAAACAAATAAAAATATTAATGTGAACTAGAATGGATTTCATAAATATGAGTTTTTTTTTTTTTTTTTTGCTTTTGTTGTGTTTGGGATTATTATTATTATTTTTTTTCTAGTGAAATGAAAAAAGGGAAGAAAATATTTGAATTTCGGAAGAGAATAAAAGAGGGAAGTCAATCAATATGTATTGTAAAGGTTATAATGAATTATATAAATATAGTTTCTTAAAAAAATAATTATGGGAATAAATAAATGAAAGGACGAGGGGTGAGTGGGCGCATGGAAGCCAAGTGGAGTGCTCTCCTTTGACGGGGATGCCGCCTTTCTTTTTGTGAACATTCAGATAAGCCCAACGCCCATCTCTCTTTTATTTTTATTTTTAACATTATTAACTAATTGTTTTCATCTTTACATTATTTTTTAAAAATTAATTTTATTTTAAACCCTCTCTAATTTTTATTATTCTCTCTCCTCTTGCTTTTACCTAGGCGTTTTCTAATTAATGTTACTTTTATTTTATCTATAATTTAATACAAATTAATATGTTGTGTATTTATATTGGCCCCAACTTTGTTAAATGAAGAGACAATGCTAACAAATAACAAAAATGAAAATAAATCATGGAGAAGATAAATGAAAGGGCCCACACTTTTGGATGTATTATTTTTATTATTAGTGAATAAATAAATGCACAATCTTCCCTGCCTCCCCTTCTCTGTTTGTGTCAGCTTTTGTTTACGCATGAGCATTATATATGGAGAATTACGATCAAGTCTCATAAAAAAAATAATTATTATAAAGTCTTAATAATAATTTCAACAATCTATAATGACAAGTCTTATAATGAGAATGACAACTTTAACTTATTTTTTTAATCTTCTCAAATCATCTTATAATTCTCTCTAGTAGTATATATGTTACTTCTATTAAGAATTAATTTAATAACGTAAATTAAATCAAAATAAAAGTAAATTTAAATAACCGAAGTTATTTCGTTGAAAAAGGAAGATAGTTTGTTACCCATAAAAAATGATAACGTAAACCTTATTTTAAAACTACTAAAGGGTCAGCGGCGTCTTCAACCAAACAAGTTGACAAAAAATATATATATAATCAATTAATGACCATCAATGTGAATTATAGTCCGAGAATTCCGAAATACGTCTTCTTTGATGATATGATAAGGAATAACCTTGTTAATCAGAAAATAATAAATTTTCGATGGTGCGTATTTATATACAAAATTCTATAGCGTTTATAAATCATGTGACTTGGAACCTTTTTTTTTTTTTCTTACCTTCCCTTCTACTTTAATTTTTTTTTTTACTAAAAGTAGATATTCTCTTATTAGAAGCAATCCTATTTGAGACACTGTCAGGTACTAAATGTGGACACTTCTCCCAGCGAGGATTTGAACCTTGATTCACCACGTTTTGGGAGACTAACTCCTTCCGCTAGACCCAACCTCCGTTGGTACCTTCCCTTCTACTTTAACCTATTCAGTTATTATCAAAGTGCTTTAGGTAAATGTTCATCATACTCAAACCTAAATACTTAATATAGACACATGCTCTAGTCTTTTAGACTTAATTGTCTAATTAATTAATTAATTTTAGGCTTTAGCCTCTTGTTTGTATTATTTTTTTTAAAAAAAAAACTCAAGCTAAACGGCCGCAATAAAAAAAATAGTCAAGTTGTGAGATGGTGAGGTTAGGAAGGCACGTTATTTTGGAAGGCATCAAATTTCAATTTATGATTGATGATTGAAAAAGAATATACTACCACCCGTCTCTGTCCAATTATAATAAATGCTTTTTTTTCTTATTATATTTTTTCGCCAATAGTAATAAAAGTGAGTACGACTTTTCGCATAAAATACGACAACAAACGAATGAGAACCAGGAAAAAAAAAAAGAAATAAAAGAAAAAGAAAGAAAACTGAGGATTTTGCAATGGCAGCCCTCCAGAGCACTCATATTTATGTACATGGAACCTTCGGGAAATGCCACCACACAAGGCGGCTACGATGCGAACCTCTTCGTCACATTCTATGACCGCACTGGCGTACGTACGATGATCACAAAGAAAAATATACCACAAATAATTTAAAATTAATATTATTTTTAGTTCTTAAAATGTAATCTCATTTTAATTTTGATTCATATAACTTAAAAACAATAGTTCTTATTATTAAATGTTGATGCCTAAAGATTTTGATCCCTAAACTCGTATTTTTAATTTATGAAAATAATGTTTCAAGAACTAAAAACATTGGTTTTAAACTGTAAGGGTTAAAATTAAAATTAGGTCAAACTTCAGGGACTAGATATGATATTAAACTAATAACTAATTTTACATGGTTTTGCTTTTTTTTTTTTTAAATGAAATGGAAAAGGTCAACGATTGCATCCCATGTGTGTCGGATTTTCATCAAATTGGGTGATGGATGAAACCAATGATGAAGAGATTTGAGTTTTCAAGGGCAGCAATGTTGCCTGTTGCTCTTAACACCACAACCTATCTGAGTTGTGCGTAATTTGCGCTTCTTTCATCTTATTATTAATCCCTTCACTAACCCCTTCTTCTGTTTTCTCTCTTCCAACCAATCTTTCTTTTTTGTTTGTTTTTTTTTTCCTTTTTGGTTTTCTTTTTCTCATTTCTCTTCTTTGTTCTTCTTCTTCTTCTTCTTCATAAATTGTCCTCTCGTAATTCATTCAGGTTCCCATAAGTTCACTCTTCCATGAACTTTCTTTCATCAGGGTACGTTATCTCAGCTTCCACTGCCCTGCTTTTATATAATTTTGTTCTTCCTTTGTTTGGAAGCTTTTTTTCTTCTCTTTGTTCTATGTCATGTACATGATTATATGAAGTTATGCGAGATAATCATTGTGACTTCTTTGCACCTTTGAAAAATAACATAAAATAATAAAGTGGCATTATTTTAGGTTCTTGTGAGTACTCATGGGATGATTAGAATCTTTTCGCTTACATTTAAGGCCTTTTCTTTTGGAATAAGCTTTCTTTTCTCATTTGTAAGGTACCTTTTTAGTGGGTTCCTCTAATTCATTATTCTGTGAATGAGCAGATAGCCAGATCATATGATGGATGCTCTGAACACATATTGTTGGGCTTTTCAAGTGTCCCCTGACGTTACTTTGCTTGTCTTTTTAGGTTTTACAGTTCAACGTTTATAGGCTTTTCATTTTGATTTCTCACATCCACGTTTTATATTTGTGCGTCACAATCTGCAATCAAGGCAAATTTGTGCGAATTTGACCCTTCATCTTTTAGCCCAAAACGGTAAGGGGGCAAAAAAAAAAAAAAAATTTTGCATCGTTATTCCATTGGTAGCCTCTATCAATGGGGCCGAAAGAGTAACCGCATCAATCTGCCCCCCCAAAAGATTGTAAACTATAATTTTCTTATTTTTAAAGGGACAGAATTTGAACAAAAATCAAATGCTTGGGGGCCTAGAATGATAACAAAACCTATGAGAGCACCAATTAATAACAGGATTATCTGTGAAGCACCAAACCAAGGTTTTACATAAATGTTTGAGTACTGCTCATCAGCTGTGAGTATGATAAAAACTGCTGTGCCTAGCATTCAATTTAATTATCTGGGAATGTGGTGTGAGCAGGTTGTTCTGAAGAGTAATAGCAGAAACAGAGATTTATGGCATCGGCAAGACCAAAAGAGAACAATGCAGTTGGGAAGGAGAAGGTCCTGTCCTCAAATTCTCACAGTACAAGCACAAAAAAGACCATAAAACCATGCAAGCCAAGCGACAAGCCCACCTCATCAACAGAAAAAGAAAAACAGATCCCAAACTACCTCAAGCCTACCATAAGCTCACGCCTTGACTCCCACTCCTCCAAGAACAGTACGACTGGTTCTCCCCAGAGAACTGTTATAAACAGGAGAAGATCTTTGGATAAGCCTCCATCACCTTCACACTTAACTAAACACAACCAATCATCTTCAAGGCTGCACAAAGCCCTTGTGTCTCCAGGTCCCAGGGAGAGATCAGGAGCACAGCTTCGATCTTTGCCTTCCAAACCCGCTTCAGAGAAGACCTCAAGAACGTCCAGAGATGGGAAATTGTCCACCAACACCAAGAGTTTAAACAAGAGTCGTAAGAGCCCTAGTCCCACACCTAAGAAGGTAGCTCGTGACGGTTCTACTACTGTGAATTCAACCAAAGCTCCCAAGGGTGATGCTGAAACTAAAGAGAAATTGAAAAAAGTCGAAACTGAAGCGGAAGAAAAAGATGCTTCAAATGAAAAGGTAGAAGAAGTGGTGAGGGAAGATGGCAATAAGCAAGAAGAAAGTGAAAATGCAACTGACCAGATTAATCCGCCAGTCATTGACATTGAAAATAAACATGAACAAAAGAAAGAGCATGAACAAGATCAGGTGGTTGAGGAGTCTAAACCTGGCGAGCCTCAGATTCAAGAGCATGAGCAAGACCAGGTCATTGAGGAGTCTAAACCTGGCGAGCCTCAGAGTCAAGCTGATGATGATGATGATGATGATAATAATTCCTACAGCATCAGAAGAAGAAGATCAAGAACGACAAGAAGAAGAAGAAGAAGCGGTTAGTGTGGCAGAGGAAACAAAACCGGTTGTTGAGGTAGAGGAAGCACAAAAAGAGGATCCACAAGAACAGAAGGCTGAAGATGTACATCACGAGGATGAGAATAAGAGCCCAGATGAAAGCATTGATCATCCAGAACCAGAAGAGCAAAAGGTTGATGTTGAAGCAAAGGAAGAAGAAAACCACAATGGGCTTACAGAAGAAATGGAGAGTGAGAACAACGAAGAGGGAAAGGAGGAGAAGGAAGTAGTGGAGGGAGAAACAGATGGAGGAGTTAAAATGAAGGAAGGAGAGGATAACGATAATGATGAGGAGAAGGAGGAAGTCGAAGAGGAGAAGGCTGAATCAACACCAAAACAACAAGGTGCAGAGGGGCAAGGGAAGAAGGAGACGACTCAGGTATCCAATAACGTAATAGAAGAAACAGCAAGCAAACTGGAGAAGAGGACAAACAAGGTAAGAGCATTGGCTGGGGCATTTCAGACTGTCATTGACCATCAATCCAAATGAAACAGGCATCTACCTATTTTATGTGTTATACTTGAAAATTAAATAATCATAAAGTATGATGATTTTTAGTAGAAAGCATTCATTATTCATACTTTGTGATCATTTCATTCTTCAATATAAAGAAGTTATTGCATAAGTTCTCATGTATCCCTCCAGAACCGGAGGAGCAAGGTTGTCCTAAACTTCATCATTTGTAAATCATTTCCTTCAATATGTAATAGCATTTCTCTGTCTACTCTGCCACAGATAACCATACATGTAAACAAGCTCAACCAACATCACCTCCTCTTTGCTTGCCTATTGTATAACAAGTCTTATCTGAGTTATCGGGCAGCCTAAGTCTGCTTGCCTCTTGTACACACAAAAAAAAAAAAAAATCACCTCCCCTTTATCAATATATTTATAGAGCCAGGCAAAGTCCAGAGTTGCATTATAGCCGATGCCTACTTATGTTGACAAAGTACTTTCATTGTTGAGGAGCTGGGCGAGTTATTGGCTAAAGAAGCGGTGGTTATGCACAGGCGAGGTCTTTTAGGTAGTTGTTATTAAGGTCTCGCTAGACGGGGCAATTTTAACTCGATATATCATCTCCTCCTAAAATGACCAAATTCTCATACACCTAGCTCGTGAACTTGAAGAAGAGAATCTGGAATCTGGAAAATGGAAAACGCAATGCGTGTGTGTGTGTAAATTGTAAATTTTCCGCCGATTTGCCTCCCCAGTTTTAAAAAATACACAAAGTTTGACAAAATAAGTGTATCTGAAAACGTGGAGATAAATATCCACTACCCATAATGTCATCATCTGCTTTAAATCCACAGCAATTAATTCGAAATAATGACTGAAGTACCAAATTAAAAACAAATAGCAGAAGACAAGAACATTTTAAATTTACAAATATATACAACTCTTTAAATAATACCACAGGCCACCAGTAAATCTGCCAATAACTGGGAAACTCTCGTCATTGTAGGTCGTAGGGGCGTCTAGTTAATTTTGAATCGAAAGGAGGATGTACCTTTGGACCTACGTACCTTGAGGACAGTGGTACTTTTTCACCATGTAATTCAAGAACGCGGCATGCCCCCAACCATCCTCCTCCCGAAAGGAGAGTCACGTTAAAAATTGGTTATCAGCAGTATATTCGTCTTCATTCTCAACAGCATGCTTTAATAGAGAGATGATAGACTAGGTAACAGGAAGGAGAGAAAAAATGGAAAAGGGAGGTAAAGGTAGCTTTCATATTTGGAAGCTTCAGAAGCAGAATCCAAGGAGGGCAAAACCCCGAAAATCCTCTAGCGTCCGTTTAATAATGATGGAAATGACTCCGGCAACTTGTATTATTCACTGAAAAGTAACAATCCACAGGGTATAACCTAATGGAAAACAACCAGAAGGGAACCCGTAGCCTAGTGCATTCGAGAGCACCACACTCCTCACAACACTCTAACCATTTGCATGCCCCTTCTCAACGACCTCCCTGACAACAAATACCCTGCGTAACTAACTCCTAAATCTCCTTTCCACAGTTACCCTCAGCTACGCACTTAGCCCACTATCACATATTGGGCTTTTTCCTTCCATATGTATACAACGGCCCGGGTTCAACAAATAACATCACCAACTTTGAGGGCTTTTGCAGGCCTACTTTCTATCACTTCCTCCGCCACCCTTCTTTCTCCTCCTCTTTCAACTCTCCAAATAGAACCCTTACAGGGGCCCCTCAATCTGGTCCCCATGGACAAAACTGTGTAGAGAGAAAGCAAGATAACATTCTGAAACACCTAAAAATGGTATATCACTATTATCTTCTAAAGATTGAAAGTTTTGGCCCTAGTGATTCAAATGAAGGTGTGACAAGACTATACAATTGCTGTAATGTAAAAACTCCAACTGCCCTTGAGTTGTATGCAGTACCGTATGGGCTAGTGTACTTTACAATGATAACAATTGGGTAACCCTTTTCCAAAATCAAATCTACAACATGACCGACTGATGTTGTAGTTGTAACAGTAGGAGGTGGGCTTCTCATCATTGTTGAAATTGAAGCATTCAAGTCCAGCTGCACAAAGAATTCATTGAACAATCATATTAGAGGTCTGGTCCAGAACATGCCATCCCGTGAATAAAATAACCAACCATTAATAGTAATAATGTTGTCTATATAGTGTCTGCCCATACAACAATTGTGGAAAGCGGGAATGTCAAAAGCACACACATACGCAGGCAGACAAAATAACCTAATTTATCTATTTAATAGTGATCTTTGGTTATTATTTTCATATTAGTCCTAGTATTATATGAAAAATGAAATGTTAGAGATGTCTGTGCATGCATATGAATGCGCACGCCTCAAAATGTATCAGATGTTGATACATGAAATAAAATTGAATGACATCAAAGACTTGTAATAGATGAAACAAAGTTCCTAGCTAAAACAGGAGTACCTGAGTGCAGTCTTCACGGTGCACCAATCCTATACAGCTGCCCCAGTCATCTACTATTGGAACAACTGCATCATCAAAGAAACGCATAACCACTTCCTTCAATTGTACAGTGCCTTGAAGTGGTCCTGCTGCTTCAAATGGCAACATGAATCTCTCAACTGGTTCAGCAGGTGAAACCTAAAGCCAGAAAGTGCAATCAGGCAACCAGAAAGAGTACTAGGCATAAAATTTAAAAAAAAAAAAAAAGTTAGTTTTTTGGGACAGGAAAAAACTTGGTTAAATACCAAATATTGGACAAAATATTTGGAAGAGTATCAAGGAACTTTAATAATCACACTAAGCTCTGCATCCTTGGGCAAATAAGTGATGCATCCTTACGCAAAGGATGCTAAGAAAATGCCATAGGTACCTGTGGAAGAAGGTAAGGACTGAATATGGATTTTGAGAATCCCAATGTGGCCTCAATGCGCAATGTCACCTAGATTAAAAATGCAAAAGGCTGACAACATCAACTTCTATGGAAGGAAAAAAGAGTGAACATCAATGAAGCACCTGTTCGGTAAATTTTACCTTTTCATGATATTTGGCATTAAATTTTGAACAAAATCAACCAACGCAAACAATATCAAATCAATCTACTTGAAGAAAAAGGGAGGGGAAAAAGTGATCCACCAACACTGGTGAAGAGCCAAAGTTGAGCCAAGGAAACTCACGCATTCTTAAAATAGACCAACATACAAGTAACAATATATCCAAACAGCTTAGCATGGTAAGAAATTGCATTTGCCATCTATGGAAGACCCGCAGTAAACAGTGGCTAGTATTTGAAACAATGATAATCATGTTCAATAGAATTTGCATTACACACCATGCCTCCACGACTTGTCCATGATATACCCTTCCCTTTTGAAGCGATATTAACAAGAGTTCCAATGGCAACATCAACCTGGACAACATTCATCATCAAAACCAGTCAATCTTGACTTGGTAAAATAGCTGATGATACAGGTGTAAAAAGACAGAACCAAGGGGGAAAAAACACAAGGGCCTCTTCAACCTCATAGTTGACAACCAATTATCAATTATTACCTGACCACTATTCAGTGCTGCTTCCATGAGAAGATGATCAGCTTCTTCCTGGGCAACTGGCAAGATAGTTCCTGCAGAATCTGGCAAAAGCCGCCTGTGCAAGTTTCTGACTACATTGTAATCTCCTCTAGAAGCAAAAGCACGCATCATGGAAAGATAAAGGTGAGGCTTGGGCCTCAACTCTGGATTCCAACCAGCCAGCTTCAGAATTTCTCCAAAGATGCATAGAGCACCTGAATGCCCAAAAGATAGTCCAGCGAGGAAATGACAAACAACATACAAATTCATCAACTAATGACGTGTACTAGAAGGACTGACCACAAGCAAACAGACTAATTGTTATCTCTCTCGAAAGAAAATTTCCTCAATATCCAAAATCATCTATTCTGACAACCGTAACTCCACAGTAATGATTTTTTATATTGCCACAATTTGTGTTCAATTACAGAATATAGAATAAAATAACAGCATACCCTTAATTGAGCCACACTTTAACAAAGCATCAATTATTGCAGTGTAAGCTGTTCGATCAATATACAATTCCTGACATGATTTCATTTCCAGCACTATTTTCAGGACTGACGAGAGATCTTTGGCCTGCCCAAAACCCTGCATTTAAAAGGAAAAACTGAGAGATAGAAAAAGAGAACCCTAACACTCATTCCCCTCTCGGTTGACCTGGAAAAAATATAAATCTTGCTTTCCAATGTGACCTAGATACAATTACCCAACTACAACTAGAAGCCAAATAAGAGGGTATGCCATTTTTTTCTCAGGCAAGAAGCACGTTGCATATATTAGACTATTGTTTAAGCTGTCAGAGACCTACTAATAAAAATACTGAAATCACAATAAATAACACAATACAATCCCTTTTTCTTAATAAAATGTTGAAATTTTTCTGAATTTGCCCAATGCAATCATAAAACGGAAAAAATGTAAGAACACAGACCTTGAGCAGTGTTGAATATGTGACAATATCAGGCAAAACGTCATTGTGGGTGGATTTCTGTGCTTCATCCTGTAAATATAGAAGTTATAATTTCAAAAACCTTCATAGATCTCACTCTACAGAAAATAAGAGAACTTTAAATTTAGATTTATCTCCTGAACGCATACTAGTTACCTTCATGTTTTCAAAAAATTGCACTGCAGTATCCATGTTTTGACTCTTGACACATGCTAATATAAGAGTGTTGTAGGTGAGCCTGTCAGGCTTCATTCCATGACGCAACATTTCATTGTGCAAGTTTACAGCATCTAAAGGAAAACCAGCGGTGATATACCCCTAGAATTCAAAAAAGTTAAAAAACCTTCAAGTTTAAAGATTGTTAATAGTCATCTTTGCAATCACTACTAGTTACTAACTCAAAGTACTCTTCATCTGGAAAATTCCTTTTTTTCCTGAGAGATCAGGCATAAGAGCAAGACCTTTATGAGTAAGTTGTATACTGAGACTGAGAAACTGCCACCTTCACGAAGTACGTAACCATAACGAGCAAGGAGGCCATTCGCACGACGTAAGTCCCCTGCACTATAGCATTGCATGTAAAGCATCATCAGTCAACACAGAGGCTTTTGGATTTGACAGAGGCCAGTATTCAACGTCTGAACTCGCACAAAGCAGTCCGAAGCTTAAATGCCTCATGACAGCATAGATCGACTTGTCGTTCGGCTAGTTTCCATCCCCAGTAGCAGTAAACCAGTTTAACGATAAATGTGGAGCAGACCTTCTGACTCACCTGCTTCGATTATGGCATTTAGCAGACCAAAGATCAATGATGCTGACAGCTTTGGATTTCCAGGTGCGGTACCTTTTTCCACGGACTCAAGCAACTGGAAGGCGTCATCAACTTTGCGCAGCTCGCCTAATCCCTACATTACATTTAAAAAGCAAAAGTTCCAACCATGCTCAGAAAGAACAAACAATTGGATACCATAGATCACTGCATTAGTAGACAAAGAAGAGACTATGCTCCAAACGTATGATTACTACAGAAACGATGAATTGCTATACCTTCAAAAGCGTGGCATACGTGACTGCATCCACGCCACAGCTCCGCGGTTTCGTCATATCATTAAATACCCTAAGAGCTGAATCAATATCGCCGCAATGAACACAGGCCTCCATTACCGCGTTCATGACAATCGTGTTCAGCTTCCCATAACGTTTCTTGGCAATTTCAATCTCTTCAAAAATCTGAGGAAGAAAACCATTAAGAGTAAGTGCTAATGTCCACCGAACTAAACGTAAGAAAGACAGGATCCATTTTTGCCTTCGGAATCAAACCAGAGCAGCAACTAGTGGCAATATAGAAGAAGAACATAAATGAGAGAGAGAGAAAAAAAAATAAAGACGGGACGGGGGAAAAGAGAACCTGGTGAAGCTGCCTTCGGCGGGTGAGTTGAACGATGCGAGAAGTAAGGCACTTAAGGTTCTTTTTACGCGGATTAGCGGTGCTCTTCAAGCGACGCCGAGTTGGAGCAGAACAAGAAGAAGAGGCAATAAGAAAGGAAGAAAGCGGCTTCGAGTTAGATCGAAGTGGAGTGAAGTACGAGAGAATGTGAATTTCGAGCATTGTTGGTAGCAGCGTGGAGGTCGAATGATACCAAGAAGAAGCTGACTACCCATCGGCCATGGAATACAGTGCAGGAAGGAAAAGCTCCGACAGGATAAAATACAACGAAGGCGGGTGGAGCTTCCAGACACCACTCACACCAGGTGGTCGAAATGATATCAGCCCCGTGCTTCTTGGGCCACGTAATGGGCCTGACAAGTGAATAAGACTGGACTTAAGTGGTGGGCCCATCCTCCGCTCCATGATTCTCACATTTTTTATACCAAAAAAAAAGGTAGAGCGAGGGAAATGAGATGCCCTGTCGTATTCCCTCCCCCTCCCCCCCCAACATTGCTGGTGATATGTGCTCGTAACAGGTACGAGGGAATAGAAAAAGGAAGCAAGCTTTGATAAATGAAGTGAGAACAAAAGGGGTTGTGAATGGAGCCAGATTTATTTACGGCGGCAGCCATTACAGAAACCAGAAAGACGGCAAGAGTTTTGTCTTTTTCATACACCTTTTTCTTGTGGTTGTAGGGATGATCATTCGCTGGTCGCACACTTTGACTGCCTCAAATATGAAATGAAATAAAATAGGATCTACTTTTCAAATTCACCCACAAAATCTTCTCCCCTGTTTTAATGAAGGAATCGTCATGGAGTGGGTTTCGCTCCAATCCAAGTTTGCAGCTGTAATAGACTAGCATCTATCTATATTGCTTCGAGAGGATGCCAAGTGTTATTAATTTTTTCCTCCAACGTGGAAAAGTAACACAAGTCGTGTTGGAAGTGACAGGCGACAAATGGTGGGCACAATGGAGTGCGAGTGAAATGGACGTACGAGATGTTTGATGAGAAAGAAGAAGAGATGTGGTAGGGAAGGGAAGGGAGCGGCGCGACTGATTATTAAAGAAAAGGATTGTTGTGGAGCAGATGCAACGCATGTTGAGGAGGGGCTGTTATTTGCGATTGTGAGAAGGAATTAAAGGAATTTTGGCTTTTCAAGTGAAAACAACGCATGCGGTCGTAAATAAGTGGTTGGAAGAACAGGGGAGGGAAGCCATTCATTCGTTGTAGAATTAAATAGGCCATCGTCTGAGCACCACATAAATTTGCTCGGTCATTTCACGTTGGAGCCATCATTGGCAGCTTTCACGTTCCTCTCTTACCCCGTTGCTGCGTACATACTCTGGCATCCCCCTGACTCTGACTCGTTGGATCCATCCTCTTCCCAGAATCTATTAAATCCATCATTCACCCACTCTGTTTCCCACCACCGTACCTTTTTAAGCTTTTTTAATTTTCTTCCCCACTCTACACTAACCCAGATTTGAAACCTCCCCTACCATATCTCTTCTTTCTTCTCATCCTTCCTACTCATTCTCTACGTCACCCCTCTCTCTCTCTCTCTCTCTCTCTCTCGCCGGGTTTTCTTTAATGTCGTATGATTTTGTTAGATTTTCCTAACCCATCCCCTGTATTCCGGCCTTGCTTTCAGTTAAAAACTCGCCGACGCCAAATATTATAATTCTCGTCTCCCGCTACTTTTACCACTTGCTCAAATCTCTTTGCTTTCTCGCTTTTACTTCCACTGAATTCCTTGCGTCATCTTCTATATATCGAGCTTTTCTCTGTTCTCCCTCATCTGCATAATTGGCATTTTCACAGTCAATTGGCGAGGATTCGAAATGAAGATTACCCACGAGGAAACCTCCGATAAGGATTTCGACTCGGAGGATTTAATTCCCGGATTGCCCAATGAAGTCGCGCGGCTTTGTCTTCTTCATCTTCCTTATCCCTACCAAGCGTTGGCGCGTTCCATATCGTCATCTTGGAACAGAGCCATCACCGACCCAACTTTCCTCCTCTCCAAGAAATCCCTCTCTCTCTCCAGGCCTTATCTGTTCGTGCTGACCTCCCACAAATCAACGGCCAGGATGCAGTGGCAAGCCCTCGACCCCTCATCGGGCAGTTGGTTCGTCCTGCCCCCCATGCCCTCTCCTAAACCCTTGTGCCCACAGAGCTTTGCATGTGCCTCGCTGCCACGTCAAGGAAAACTCATCGTCATGGGCGGCATGCGGAGGGACACACAGACTCCCATGGACTCCACCTTCGTGTACCGCACAACCACCAATCAATGGTCCCAATTATCCCCCATGCCGACCGCCCGGTCCTACTTCACCGCTGCCGAGATCGACGGCAAGATCATGGCCGTAGGGGGGACCGGGGCCCGCATGTTGAACTCAATCAAAGAAGCGGAAATCTACGACCCGGAAAGAGACGCCTGGGAGTCGCGTTCTAGGATAGAGGCGAAGATGGGGAAGTACGACTCGGCGGTAATGGGAGGGAGGCTGTATGTGACGGAAGGCTGGACGTGGCCATTCATGTTCTCACCGAGAGCGGCGGTGTACGACGGAGGGAGTGACAGGTGGGAGGAAATGAGGCAGGGGATGAGGGAAGGGTGGACGGGGGTGAGCGCGGTGGTGGAGGGGAGGATGATAACGATATCGGAGTACGGGGACTGTCCGGTGAAGGCGTACGATGAGGAAAGGGACGTGTGGGAGTACGTAAAGGGGGACAGGTTCCCGAGGGAGAAGCTGGAGAGGCCACTGACAGTGAGAGGGGAGGAAGGGAGAATCTACGTGGTGGCGTCGAAACTGAACGTGGGGATCGGGAGGGTGGAGGTTGAAGTGGACAGAGAGAGAGGGAAGGAGGTGGTGAAGGTGACGTGGGAGGTGGTGGAGGCGCCTAAGGCTTTTGCAGCGTTAACTCCTTGTAGTTCTCAGGTGCTCTATGCCTGAATTATCTGCCAGCTTATGCCGCAGGCCATATGTTTCAGAGTACTGATTCAGTGGGAAGGTAGTGGAGATGATTTGTTGTATTATTATTATATTCAGTTGGAAAATATAGCTTGTGTAATTCGGTTCTTGTGTTAGACGCGGGAACTTGGTTTTCTTTGTTTTTTCTTTTTGGTGGTTGGGCTTTCCCATTCCTTAACGCTGTTATCTTCCGCAGTATCACGATCAATTGATACCTTGTTCTCATTGGATCCACGGAATATATATATAACTCCTGTGTTTAATATAAAATCTGGTTTAATTTTTATTTTAATTCTAAATATAAAATCTGAATTCATTTTATGTATCATATTTATCTTTTTTTTAAAATAATCCTTCTAATAATAATAATTCTAACTAATAAACTTAATTAATAAGAATGCTCCTTCTAATAATAATAGTTCTGACTAATAAATTTAATTAATAAGAATATTTTTAAAAAAATAACACTTATTTATTATAAATAAGTAAGTTAATTTATTTTTTAAATCTATATAAATTACTCAATTAATTTTTATACGTAAAGCCAAAGTTAATATATTTGATGTTATGACACTACTTTTATGCATAGGGTGGGAATATTTGAATAAAGAATAAGGAATTATAATATTTTTATTTTTTTTAATGGCAACGAAGCCGCCTGTCACTCACCGATGAATCCAAATAGCTAGTAATGCGTTCACATCATCGTCATAGGAAGGGAGAATAATATAAAAGCATAATTAGGGGAACATAAAAGATAGAGATGACATGGGATGCGAATTCCCTGGTGTGCGCAGGAGAGAAGCCGGGATCGCACAGCCTGATCAGGTGATTCTCAATGCCCCATTCTGGAACGATCAAAACGTCAACCCCTGGACGGTTGGGAATTAAGAAACGGAGAGAACGTAGATGGGTGGAAACAGAACACGACAGAGAATGGAAGATGTGCGGAAAAAACAGAGGGAGGAATAAAAGAAGGAGGAGCGGTTACGTCACGCGGCGAAGCCAAGGAAAGGTCTAGAAACAGGCGCACGCGCTGCTTTCTGGGAATATATCAACGCAGCATCTCTGATTCTGCTTCCACAAAACGCGATATTGTTCCGGAATCCCCAAACGACCTCTCGCCTTGTTGGTGTTGGTGTTTATATAAAAATTAGAAGCGAAGAAACTCTGAATTCGGATCGAGGATCAAGGAACCGAAGATGTGTTTGGTGTTTGTGTGCGACGAGGACGAGAGGGAGATATCGAGGCAGATGGCGCCGGGGTCATGCCCTTACTGCGGAGGCATGGTTCAGGCGGTGGACGTGGAGAGCCAGTGGAGGTTCTGCTTCTTGCCCGTCTACTTCAAAACCAGACGCCGTCTCTACTGCTCCTTCTGCAACCGCCGGCTGGTTATTCAGCAGTGATCCTCCCTCTTCACTTTCTCTTCTACGCTTCTTATCTTAGTTACCTTCTTCTTCAATTTTGTCTCCCTCTGTAAATCAATCCCTCATCCAGTATTAACAGTACTAGCATCTTCCTTTCAATTTAATTGTGTGTGTGTGTGTGTTCCGCTGACTCTTTCCTGCCCCCTCACCCTAACATATGGTGGACTTGTTAAGGAAATCCCACATGCCTGGGTTTTATCACGAACAAACGCACGTCTCAATTCCGGATGTAATTAAACAAGTGCGAGTGCTCGTTTTCTCACCAACGTATTCCTGTCATTGAAATGTCTTTCTACGAGTAAAGTTTTATGTGTGTTTGATGATCCCTCTCGTCCTCAATTAACTCCAGTAGCAAGCAACCCTCAATGGATTGTCTTCGCTTCTTTATCACGCGGCTAATAATTAGGGAGAATTACATTCAAATCCCACAAAAAAAATAATCACTAAAAAGTCTCAATAACAATATGAGCAGGATGTAATAACAACAGTGAGAATGACAACTTCCGAGACTTGTTTTTCAATTGTTTTTCTGCCCCTAATAATTACTTATGACTCGGGATCTTAAAATCTGATTGCGTCTCCGTTCACTGGTCAGGCATCAATTATTTTAGTTATGATTGTTAGCCCTAATGTACGATTTATAAACTGTCATATCGTTTTACCTTGTTAATACATCACTGTTACGTTTAACAGGTGGGATTAAAAGTAGTAGGGATTGGGCATTGGACTGGAAATTGGGCCAAATTCTAATGGGTGGCGTGCATTGGGGATTACTGGGAACTGGAAAATGCCATGTGGGTCCCACGTCCCCTTTGGCAATGCCATTTTAAATCCTGGGATTAGAAATTTTAAATCATATAATAATTAAAAAAAAAAAGAATGTCCTAATTTACAATAATTTCAAGATGGAATTACCCTTAAATAAGTTTATTTCCCATCCTAGTCTTTAGGTTCTGCCATTATTGGATGCTATATAATTTCTCTGAAAATGGGTGTTGCGAGTTACAGACTTACAGGCATGTTCTGGAGGGACAAATCTTTTAAACTATTACTTGAGTCCAAAAAAAAAAAATCTTTTAAAGTTTTAGTCAAGTGCTTCTTATCCTTATTTCAGATAAAGTATAATGATCACTGGATGTTTCAAAGTAATAAATATTTATCTGGTAAAAAAAAGTAATAAATATTTATAAATTCACGTAACGTTGTTTATGGAAACTACTGGGGGGAAAAACTGGCACAAGGTAATGGACAATCTCGTTACAACGCCATTTCTGATTTTTAAAATTTTTAATTGATTTTTTGTAAAAATGAGGCTTAATTTAATGTTTTTTTTTCAAACAAAAAATACATGATCCTACGATCTCATATTCCCACGTGTGCATCAGGTTGGAATCCCAAGCTCTCAACAAGAGGGTACTATAGTCTTTTAATCTTATATGATTTCTGATCCCAAATATAAAAGTTAGTTTATAATATGAATTACACGAAAAATTAGTTTTTATATTTAGAGTCAGAGATAATATGTCATACTATTAAATAAAACAAATGCATCAATTCCTTACGCATATTGCCTCATATTGAACATAAAATAGAAAACCTCGTTTTCAATTCTATTATACCATTCCCGTTCCATCAAAAATCAGTATTGCATACCAAACGTGACCTAGAGTTGAGTATAACAATCTATAAACTCTGAAAAATTCAAGACGAATTTGACTCTTAGGGTGCATACGAATAAAAAATTGAAAAAAAAATCACGAATTACTCAACGAATTTGAGCCTCAGGATACATAGGAATTCTAGATGTATTTTTCCACAATGCACGTCATACAAACGGGGATAATCCATAATTGTGAAAATACATACTACTTCCGGTCTTTAATATAAGACCCTATTTGAATTTTATTTTGATCCTAAATATAAAATCCCAATCCACTTTATCTCTCATATTTATATTTTTTTTCAAAGTAACCCTTCTAACAATGATAGTTCTAGTCAATACATTTGATTAGTAAGGATATCTTAGGAAAGACAACACCTATTTAGGACAAATAACTAACTCAACTTACTTTCTTAATCTCCTCAAATTAGTCAATTGGCTCTTATAATTAGGACCGCAGGTAGTATGTTGAAATTTCCAAGAGTGGGTTATATGAAAAGGGGGGTAATTACGTAATTGTGAAATGAAGTCGCCTGTTGGGAAGACGGAGTCGAAGGCTGCTGGCACAATGGTAGCTGAGATTTGTGGCTTTGAAGTTTAAACGTTGGTCTTAGGCGTCAATTCAATACATATATGACGACCAACTTAAAAATTCTGCGTCTTGTTCACTCCCAACTTCCCCACGTTCTCCGTTTGGATAAGATCCCTTGAAATTTTCACATCTTCTAGACCCCCCAACAACTCTTTCAAAGACGCAAATGACTCTTCCAACCAGTTCTCTTTAAAGACCCCCCAAAAAAAAAACAGTTTAAATATTGATCTGGTTAAAGGGTCCGTGTCTTGGTCTATATTACGATTTACACACCACATAAAATATGAAAAATTATCATTTTGTTTTATATATATTCAGTTAAATAAAAGTAATAGATCCCAGCGAATATTAGTACTCAGATGAGTTTCCTTGTTTTTTTTGGGGGCAAATGTAGCACATGGCGAAAGCTGTGCACTAAGGTCCAGGATTTTGCCATAAAGTGAGCACAAGCACAGGGAAAACTTGTGTTTTTGTGTTTCCCAACACTCAGCTACCAAACAGGAATTTATGAAGCATCTCATTGCTTCTCCTTCCCCCCCTCATTCCTACCCGCCACCAAACACGGCCTTACGTCCATGAGCATCCACAATGCAAGCAACGCTCTTATCTGATCTCAGATTGCTGCCATTGATTTTGCCTTTAAATAATGGACTGCAAGCGCCAATAACAACACCAGTAATAATAAAATCACCACTACAATACTAGTTTTGACTAGGTCAAACTCACGAAGCTGGTAATATAAATCAAATCCCAAGTTACTTCACATTGCATACAATCTCCCCCCCCCCCCAAAAAAAAGTCTCAGGCCCTTTTTTTTCTGAACATGTAACGACTTTTAGGTTGACCGGAAGGTTGATCAGAGTAAAATAAGCTCATATCCGTCCAGATATGAACAGAATGGAATCAAACATAAGCGTGAGATATAGTAAGTTATCCAACTTGATGGTGAGGCCCACTTCCATAATCATTACCCTGAATTTTGCATGTATCATAACAAAAGCACATACCGCTTAGCTCTTTTTTTTTTTAAAGGGATGGAAAAAAGAAAGCTCAACCTCTAAAAGTCACGGGTTGAATGGTTCATCCATGTCATACGTTATCCAGTAACGGGGATGACATGGTGAAGTAGCCGAAGAAAAATCTGAAGCGGATTTTATATTTTCTGCATTAAAAGGCAAAGAAAACAGGACTGAAGTCCTCAAATTGGATTGGATTCCCGAGCGTAGAGGCAAGAGGGTCACTAGTTGCAGGTTAAAATGATTCTTTTAAAAAAAATTATTTAAAAAAAAAGACACAAAATGAGTACGAAGTCATGCCCTTTCACAAATATCAAGGGTCCTAAAGATAAGATAAGATTTGTCCCCAGATACGTTTTTGAATACTGACGATGCTTCCTTCTTTCTAGATCTCCATGACCACACACACAAACCTAACCCCTCAAATCCCATTGGCCCTGTAATCCATCAAACACCTCAGATCTGTGTTTGCTTTGTTCTTTCTTTTGAATATCCATATCCATCCACCTCGACACACGAAATAAAAATTTGGGCAACTGCCCTTGTCGCCATAACCAGTCCTTCTTTGTATACGTTGATAGCCCCACCTCACAGGATATGCACAGAATATACTTTCAGATCAATCAAAACTTTCAAACCCAGAGAGCAAGATAAGATTTTTAATATATATTTCACGCTTTTATCCTGTAAGTTTTATTTAGTAACAACATGATCATCGCCACCAGCAACAACAAAAGAATACCAAAGAAAAATTTTAGGGTGAAATGTTAAAATTGATCATAGCCCTCATTATCCTCGTCATCATCTTCTTCTTCTTCTTCGTCGTGTTCCTGCAGATCTGCCAGAGAAAAACTCCTGGCCTTCATGCTTCCCAGTCTGAGCCTCATCCTAGCGGCATAAGATTCAGGGACTCTGCTCTGTCGAAGCTGAACCGGGTTTTCCTGTTTGTTCTCGCGTGGTGATGAGGACGATGGGGATGGGACTTGTCCGACCTTTTCCTCTTCGTAACCATCGTCGTCTTCGTCTTCGTCCACGGGCAGGAGGGGCATGGATTTTGGGTTGGACCAGCTGTAGAAAGCTGATTTTCTGGACAGCTTGGACGCAATCAGAAGCCGCCTTCTCTTGTTGAAGGGATTCTCCTGCTTCTTCAAGTCTTTGACGGTGGTGATTTGAGATAAATCCGAGAATGACTTCGATTTACCATCGAAATGGCCGGATAATCCCCTCCTGAAACCATCCCAAATCAGAATCAGAACTAATTAATTCTTAACACGACGGATCTGAAGATTAAAAACCAGAAATTGACAGGATCCAGTAAAATTTTTAACCAGGGCATCAGAATCTAAGAGGAGGCACATCAGATTCCATCTGAGAGGAATCAAATCGGCGACGAAAATGAGTGAGAGAAAAAGAGGGTACTAACTTGACAGGAAGCGAGTCTTCTAACGCATCCAGAGATGCCAGCCCATGGAACTTGCTCTGCACCTCCTCCCCGTCTTCTTGGGCATCGCCGTCCTTGTTGAACAACAGATCGTTGTCGCTGTCGTCGGGGGTTCCGATGGATGACGAGCTCTCGGAGGAGTCCGCGTCCAAGGAGGCGGGACGCCCCAACAGGCAAGAAGGAACAGTATGGTCATCGGAGTCGGGAACGGGGCGGTGGTCTCTTGGGTACGATGGCGGGGGAGGTGAGGAGGAGGAGGAGGAGGAGGAGGAAACGTCGATGGTGAAAGTGGGACCCACCAAAACCTCCATGGATGGAGAGTCAGAGGAGGAAAAGGGAGGAAACAAGGGGGAGGGGACTAGCCTTGGCCGGTGCGTCGTCTCCGTCGGTTGGGCTTCCAGGCGAAGGGGTTTGTTGTCATCAATGGAAGAGTGAAGAGGGAGAGAGAGTGAACATGTTCATTTACGGGAGGAGAGAGAGGAAGAGAGAGAAAGCGATGAAGGGAGAGAGGCAAAGAAGGGTTGGGGTTGGGTTTAAATAAGAGAGAAACGAGCACAGAGCAATAAATGAAGCGAGTAGATAAGAACGCGGTTTGACAGGAACCAGACCGCGCGCGGATGTATTTTTACCTTTTCGCCCTTACTGGATATTTGAGAATGGGACAGGGTAATAGTGAATTCATTTTTTTTCAAAAAATTATTAAAATAAATCAAAATTACATTTTTCCTCGAAAACCACTTGGTTTGCCCTTGCTAAGGTGTGTTTGGGTGACACCCCAAACCATGGTTTGAGGACCCAAACTATGGTTTAGAGATTAAGTCACCCAAACACCCCCTCCAAAAACCAAAACCATGGTTTTGGGTCCAAACCATGGTTTTGACTCCAAAACCATGGTTTTGGAAAAAGCAAAATTTTTTTTGCTTTTGGAGAAAAAAGGGAGAGTGTGAGGGCCTATATGATATGTATCTTGTTATTTTTTTATAAACATATTTTTTTATAAATATATTTAATCTTATATTTTATAAATATATATACACATTAATTATTTATTAATTATATTATCTTATGTATTATTAATTATATTGGTAAAAAACATATTATTAACAATTTTATTCCTTCAAATTAAAATATATCATAAAATCTATTTTTTCTGTAATTATCATATTAACTTATGTCTTTTTTTTAGTAATTTGTATATATAAAAAGTGCTTTTAATAACAACTATCCAAACACTCTCATTTTTCAGAATCACTTTTTTACAAAATCTATTCTTCACAGAATCTATTTTCCCCAGAATCTATTCTCCAGAATCACTTTTCCAAACTACGGTTTGGTTTCATCCAAACACACCCTTATTGTCAGTGGGGATTATGCTTCACGACGGAAAGCGTTCTCCACATAACAAGAGGTGCAGAAATCGTGTGGAGGTAATTCGGGTCTTTTATCCGATTAAGGGTGTGTTTGGCAAGCACCCTAAACCATGATTTTAGGACCCAAAACCATGGTTTGAGAAAAATGTTAGCCAAACACCCTTAAAAAATCAAAACTATGGTTTGGGTTCAAAACCATGGTTTTGAGAAAAGCAGAAATTTTTTACTTTTGAAGGAAAAAGGGGAGAGTGTGAGAGTCTATAAGATATGTATCTTGTGTTTTTTTTATAAACATATTTTTTATAAATATATTAATCTTATATCTTATAAATATATATACATATTAATTAATTATTAATTATATTATCTTATATATTATTAATATATGTTAATAAAAAATATATTATTAACAATTTTATTCTTTCAAATTAAAATATATCATAAAAATATTTTTCCTATAATTATCATATTAATTTATGCCAATTTGTATATATAAAAAGTACTTCTAATAACAACTATCCAAACACTCACATTTCTCAAAATCACTTTTTCACAAAATCTATTTTTCCCAAAAATCTATTTTTTTCAGAATCTATTCTTCAGAAGCTATTCTCCAAATCATGGTTTGGTTTTATTCAAACACACCCTAAGCCTGAAAAATAAGTTGGCGACATTTTGAGCTTGCGAGGATTCTCATTCCGTTCCACTGTGGTGTTTTTTTTTTTTTGAAAACCAAACGGGGGGGAGGAGAGGGAAGTCCGTTAATGTTGTGAGCCATGAGGCTATGCCGTTTGTTTCACAACGTGATTCAGCCACATGCTTCATAATTTCTGCCTGCTACCTCTCATTATTTAATTTGCCTTATCCTCTTTGTATTAATTGCCTTCTCTTTCAGGATTATTTCTCTTTCCCATTCATCCATTATTATTATTCTGACTCTCCCTTCATTGGTCATCCTCACCGTTATCTTCACATTTTTCATTAATTTATTTTGTCTTTTAAAATAATTATTATAGTAGTTACAATTAGTTTTAGGCTTCTACCTAAAACACATGTTATCCTTAATTTAATAAAAAATTTTAAATACTGAAATTAGTCAAACTAAATTTATATTAAGAATACAAGATATTAGCTCCGGTCCTAATTATAAAAACTAGTTTATTAATTTGATGAGGTTAAGGAAAGAAGTTAAGTTAGTTATTTGTAATGAATAGGTGTTGTTTTTCCTAAAATATTATTGCTAATCAAATGTATTAGTTGGAACTACTATTATTAGAAGGACTTTTTTGAAAAAAAAATACATAAATATAAAAGACAAAGTGGATTGGGGTCTTATATTTAGGACCAAAATAAAAATCAAACGAGGTCTTATATTAAGAACCGGAGGTAGTAGTAATATATTTTCTTTTCTTTGTACACAGATCTTTTATTATTAGAAACAAACTTATTTAAGACACACTTGGATATCAGATTTAAAACTTCTAAATAAGATTTTGAAACTTGATTAGAAACTAATTCATTCTACTAAACTCAAGTTCTCATGAGCTCCATTGATTAATCAGTTCCTTGACCAATCAAAACAGAGTTCAGTTTGCCCTAACAGCAATTTTTTTTCCTTTTAATTCAATTTAAACTCAAAATTTCACCCTGCAATTTTAACAAAGTCACTGCACATCCGAATTTTATTTACTGAACAATTTTTTGTCCGGGGGGCTTGTATGATGGCACCAATTTAATTTTATAAATAAAATAAAATAATTTAGAAGACATCAAAAACTATGATGAGTGAGTTTGATGGGAATCAAATTTTGTCGACTAGTTGAACAGGTTTTCATCCATTTTGTTTAATCAGTTGCTAATCTCAGTCTCAATGAAGGCTGTGAAGGAATTGTATGTGGACCACGTACTTTAAATTGAAATGAAACAAATGAATAAAGCACAAGTGATGTGGATGAGATTGGGATAAGAGACTTTTTCTTTCTTTATTTTTTCAGATGATGAGAGGCTTTATCCAGCATTGAGCGAGGCGTTTTTAGATGAAATTATATTAATATTATTACATCGTGCAATGATTTTAAAGGCAAATTATAATATAGGGTGGAGGGAGTAAACCACGGCCTGGATTTAGCAACGCCAGCAAACAATAATTTATGCGTTAGAATGTTTTGGATTATACGCAAAATTTATGGTTAAGAAATGAAGGGCAGCCTTAAAAAAAAAAAAAAGCCCATAAACAGTAATATTAAGGAAGATGTCATGACTTATAATGAGATAAGACCCGTCTGAAATAATTTATAAACAGCTTTTTAATTATAATTTATAAAATATAAGGTAAGTATGTAATATAAATATTGTGCTTCTACATATGTGTGGGGCAAACAAAAAAAAAAGATGGCAAATTGTTGGCTAATCATAAATTATAGGACAATAATAGCTTATAAAAATGAAAAAATAAAGCAGAAGTGGCAACCCATATGATAGCCCGCATGATAAAATACTACTCCTCCGGTCCTAATTATAAGACCCAATTGACTTATTTGAGGAGATTAAGGAAGTAAGTTAAGTTGGTTATTTATAATAAATAAGTGTTGTTATTCCTAAAATATCTTTGCTAATTAAGTATATTGGCTAAAACTATCATTATTAGAAGGATTATCTTGGAAAAAAATACATAAATATAAGAGAGAAAATGGATTGGGTCTTATAATTAGGACCAAATAAAAAGTCAAATTGGGTCTTATAATAAGGACCGGAGGAGTAACATGTTTGACATGTCACTTCACTTATAGCGAGATAAGTTATTTTAATTGAACTACACAAGGTCCTGTCTTATAATTATTGAAGACTCAAGAATGTATTTCGGAGTCTATGATAAATAAAATATAGAATCAACGTGGAACAAAACTAAATGTTGCATTCTTTTAAAAGTTTCATAGGATGAATGTATATCCTCGTTAGATTATAGCTGATGGTTTCTTAAAAATATGTTGGTCAAAAAAAGAATTTATTGCATAATTAATGGAATATAAACTTTTTATGTTCACTGTGATCCTTCGGAAGTTAGCTTGGATGGAATTATGTGAACATCTCTTTTGACTGTTTCAGATTGTCTAATAATCTGGTCATAGTATATTTCAACAACAGCATTAACTGTTCCCTCATTCTGAATAAGCAAATATAAGACATAAATAATTAAATTATTTTTTATTAAAAAATTCATGTTCTTTTCTAAAAACACCCATGTTTTTAATTATTTACTTTAGAAAATAGAAATTGCATGTATATTAATTGCACACTAGTGACTAACAGGAGTAGTTTGAGAAAAAACAATACATATAAAATATAAAATATAAAATTTAAGATTTTATATCTAGAATTAAAATAAAATTCTGGTTAATTTTTATTTTCAGCATATTGCTTTGCATTATCCAAATATTCACGAGTGAGTGAAGCAGTGGATAGCCAACTTACTGGGGAGGGTGAAGTGATCTGACATTTTGGTTAGGTGTTATCAAGTTAATGGGACATGATTATTGCAATTACCATTAAATAAGCATTGACATTAACACATGAACGAAAATACAAATAAAATTACATGCACGTTAAGCTATCACAGCACTAGAATTTAATACAAATGGATGGCCTGCATAATTAATTAAGCCAATTAATTATATAGTTATAATCAGAAGTAGATGGATAAGGAGAGAATGGGGCAAGGTAGTCAAGTTGAACACTCAACTAAAATTGATCCACTTAGTTCAGATGTACCATATATATAATTATATTTAATTCCCAAGTTGGTAAAATATGGGGTCATTAAATTAATCAATAAATACCTGGAGATAAGTATGAAGTGGTTTGTTTCATTATTCATTCGTAATAAATGGAATTTAATGTTATGTGTAAGTGGGTGGACTTTTGCTTGGTTGGGAGACAGATATTCCAAACAAGGAATATGAAAATGGGAGATACTGAGAATTATTCTGAAAGACATCATGTGACTCTGGGAAAAATTATTTGGTCAATTCTGAGGAGTAGTTGCTCTTTCACTCACACCACATCTCTTCACCTCATCCTCCCACTGTCATGTTCTCACTATTTCTATATCTATTTTTTTATCCTATTTATAAAACAGATAAATTTTTTCTTAATCCTATTTATAAATTATTTTAATAAATATTTAAGATAAATATACTATTTTGTTATTCATTTATTATAGTTTAGATAATTATTTCTTTTAAAAGATGTATATATTAAATATGAATAAAGTTAAAAAGTTATTATATTTTAATAGATAATTAAGGCAGTTTAAGATTTTTCTTAATATAAATGCCTTATATTATATTCATTCAAACAGCTCAATAGTTATTTAAAATAAATAAATAAACACTCCTTCCCCGTCTCACTATTTACAAGACATCTTTGCCATTTTAAATAGAAGTAATGACGATGGGTGGAAAACGCATTAACTTTATCTAAAAATCAACAGAACCTCTTCAATTTTACCATATGAATTACTCCTTCTAATATTAATTATGGGATAATTGAAAAAAGGGTTCAGGACAACAATAGATTAAGGTTGACGTGTTTGGAAAATATGTCAACACAAGAGCCAAATTCTAAGACGACTACTACTACTGTTATTAATTTTATAGGAGAGTGGTGGAATAAGAATACCTGGATAGACAGCACCAGAGACGGAGGACTGTGTGAGGAGGATCACTGAAGAGTCAGTATGTGTGAATGCAACAACATTGGCGACAACACACTGAGGAAGAGACATGACAAAAACAGAGAGAGAGAGAGAGAGAGAGAGAGAGAGAGAGAGAGAGATTCGGGTTAGGGGAGTATGTGCACCCACTGCCGTTACACAAAGCAAGCACAAAACAAACGACAAGTTATGCTTTGAGACGTTAGAAAAAGAAGACTAAATAATAAAAAGAGAATTATAAAGAGTTCTCAAAAAAAAAAAAATCAAATCTCAGAATTTGTCACGAAACTTGTCATGACAAGCTTTTTAGATTGTTATTAGGGATTTTTAATAATTATTTTCCTTATTTGAAATTTATACTGAAATAAGTTGTTCGGAGAAACTCTTTACTTAAATTTGGATTCACTTGGAATGATTTATAAATAACTTTTCAGCTGTTATGATTTATGGAATGTGAAGTGAATATATAGAATGAATTTTGCAATGTAAAGTGAATTTTATGTGTAAAACCTGAGGTAGCAATAGTATAGAATAAAGTGGAACGATGCATTTTATTTTTTTGAGCTTCCCTCTCCATCTCTAACTGGAAAACTGTTTAGATCAACCTAAAAAAGTGTTTTTACTTTTTATGGGATAAAACTCTTACCATGTAATTATTTAACATTAAAAAGTCACCATGGCCTACTACGCATGAGAATGAAGATTGATTATGGCCTCTCTCTCTCTCTCTCTCTCTCTCTCTCTCTCTCTCTCTCTCTGTGTGTGTGTGTGTTTGTTTTTTGGGGCTTCCTGGATCCTAAAGTTAGTATGATGAGGGTGGGCATCAATCATGTTCGTGGCCCCCAAAATACCCCCGAGCATATTCTTCTGCCGTGTTCTCATCGTCGGACGTCGTCGTCTTGTTGTTTTATCAACAAATAAATTCAGTTTATCTAATTAATTACTCTTTCGGTTCTAAATATAAGACCTATACATTATTATGCTGTATAAGAGTCTTATATTTAAGAGCGGAGCATCTTTATTTTGCTTTATGTAACTAACCATACATTATTAACTATGTCCCTCCTGCCAAAAATCAATATACAGTAGTAATTATTTATCCCAACTGTAGTTGACCTCTATGCAATGAAAATCTCCCACCCCCCGCTTTGTTTATATATATATATATATATATATATATATATATTGATAAAAAGGATAAGTATTATTAGCTCCGATATTTAATATAAGAGTTAGTTTGCCATTCAATATGATTTTTAATATAAGGTTTTAATCTACTTTATTTATCATATTTATCTATTTTTTCTAAAATCATCCTTATAATAGTTACACGTGTTTAATATTTCATTACATAGTAGTTCTATCTAATATATGTGATTATTAATACTACCTCCGGTCCTTAATATAAGACCCCATTTGACTTTTTGTTTGGTCCTAATTATAAGACCCCAATCCATTCTGTCTATCATATATATGCATTTTTTTCCAAGATAGTCCTTCTAATAATGATAGTTCTAGCCAATATACTTAATTAGTAAGGATATTTTAGGAATGACAACACTTGTTTATTACAAATAACTAACTTAACTTACTTCCTTAATCTCCTCAAATAAGTCAACTGGATCTTATAATTAGGACCGGAGGTAGTAGTATTTTAAAAAATACAACACTTATTTATTATAAATAATTAATTAAATAATTTTTTAAATCTGTTCAAATTAATTAACTATCTCTTATATTAACTAAGGCGAAGGTAGTGTTATTTAGATAAACACAGGGATGTAATATTGGGTTTGAAAACTACTGCATGTACAGATGCTTGAATAGTGGGCAGATTCAATCTCCACTTTACTGTTGACCCATAAACAAGCTTAACGTGGATCTCGAGGAATCCTGTTCAAATTTCATTTTAGTGCATGTGAGCTAATTTTTTCCTATTGATTTTTTTTATGCAATTTTTTTTCCTATTGATTTATGTGACAACACAAAATTGTACTCGTTTAGTCCTAAATGTAAAACTTATTTTGTAGTGTAAATTACACTACAAAATAAATTTAGTCTTATTATAAAATAGATAATACTCCTCCGGTCCTTATTATAAGACCCAATTTGACTTTTTATTTGGTCCTAATTATAAGACCCAATCCATTTTGTCTCTTATATTTATGCATTTTTTCCAAGATAATCCTTCTAATAATGATAGTTTTAGCCAATATACTTAATTAGCAAGGATATTTTAGGAATGACAACACTTATTTATTATAAATAACTAACTTAACTTACTTCCTTAATCTCCTCAAATAAGTCAATTGGGTCTTATAATTAGGACCGGAGGAGTATATTTAGGACCGTAGTAACACAAAATGTTTTTGGAATTTTGAAAATACTGTTTAAAAATCACGTGGTTAAGAGTTCTTATTTTCTGAACAAGTTCAATGTTTTTTTTTAAAATTTTAATCTAGCACCTCTAATTAAGTACAAAACTTGTTAACTACTCAACCCAACTCCTCTAACTAATTATTTTTATGGAGAATAATTTGAAGAGTTTATAATAAACAACCAATTTCATATAACTTTCTTAATTTACATCAAATAATTAATCAGAGCTTACGAAAAAGAATCGGGGAGAGCAGTATGCTAAATAGTATGCTAAATAATTATTTTTTATCGAAAAAGAATCACTGTGATTCAAGATATGGCTCAACAACTCAACAAGGGATTAGGAATAGGAAGTGAATCATAACGATGAAAGTGCGATGCCGAACTCTGACGAAGACATTGGATTTATGGGCCTTTTGGGGATCCCATGTTCCTTCCTACTTGTGTCACCACGCCAAGCTTCAACCACCTTTATATCATCGCGTCCCCACCTCAATTCAAAACTTACTCATGCTCAAAATCTAATGCCGTCGTCTCATTCCGGTTCAGCTCCCCTGAGACGAACCCCTTCTGATTCATTGCCTTCTGGCTTTTTTCTCTTTTGATTAATATAAGATTTAATCAATTAATTTAAATAGATTAAAAAAGTCGAATACCATGATCTTTTTAAAATGCTTTTGTGTGACATCAGATTATATACATTGGAAAAATTTTACGTGATGAGCTCAAAACTTAGAAAAGAGAGGAGGATGAGGACAAGAACCAAATGGAGAAAAGCTCACCATGAGTAAAAACATGAACTTCCATGGTCTCCTAGAGCCTCTAGCTCTGACCAATTTTGGGATTAAGGCACAATGAATATTCATAATTGAAGATTCTCTGGTTTAAGGATTAATGAATATTCATAACTGAATATTCTCTGGTTTAAGGATTACCACTATCTTAGTATCTTTTGCAGCTGGCTTTTTAAGATATTTTAGTATGACTCAGAATTGCATTTGTAATGGGGTTGGGTTGGATTGAAGCTGACAAGACATGATCCTCGTATCTTTTCTTTTCCTTTCTAATTTTCCTTTCTGATCATAAAAATGGACCGAAAGCAAAAGCCTGCTTAAAGATATCGCGCAGTAAGGCCGAAAAAATACAATAAGAAGAGAAAATATAAGCCGAATTGCTTTTGATTATAGAATAAAACTGACAATCATTGCCAATTGGCCTCAACCTCCCTGCAATTCGTCGCCAGTATTCCATATGGAAAAGGGCAAAAGCACATGAAACAAGCAGCTCATAACGGTTTCGGCGTTTACAACTTCCCCCGTGACTTTGATATATGACTTGGGAAAAAAAAAAATACCGTTAATCTAGAACTTCTGAATCCATGTATGGTGATAAATTAAAAAAATTACACATAAAAATCTAACATATTACATTGAGCCTGCTGCTACAAAGCAAGTTTAAAGGGAGAAGCTGAAGTCAAATAAATTACTTTAGCTGGGTGTAAGATCGACGAACCTGATTGACAAAGGCCCGTATTTATTAATCAGAACTTACAATACTCTTCACATCGCAGAAACCTGTGCAGGAGAGATGACATTTGATTTTCCATCTCAGTAGGAAAACAAAGTTCCACTGTCTCGTAAATGCATTAGGCAATTGAACAGCACTGTTCAGAAGCCTCCTTCTCAGAATCCGAGAAAGGGGAGGCAGGGAAGGTAAAACGATGCATTGCGGGGCTCAGAGGAATATTATATACAGCAGCCAACAATCCTACGAGAGGAGTATATAAATGCTCTTTCACCTTTTCAAAACTAGGACTAGGCAATTACACAACTGCAGAGGCAGTGCGACGAAGATCCACCATTTTATTGCCAAATTTCTCACTAAATTGCCGACCTTTCAAACTGGCGTGTCTTACAGGCTTCGGCTGATAAAGAGACGAAAGCATTTCCTCCAGCTTCTGCACACTATATTTTGCATATTTTGAGGAGCTGGCATCTTGCTCAACCAAGGGACCATAATTCTGCATGTAACTCCTGTAAACAGGAACCACGGCTTGCACTATAAGCTGGGTTGTTTTCTCCCTTAGATCTCGTTCTGGCATAACCCAGGTTGATTGCTTTGTATACATCTCATCAAAAACTTCATTGAACTTTTTCAACCTTTTCTTGACCAGATCACGAGCAGTAGCACGCCCTCCTGAGAACAGAATCAGCCCTTCCCTGCTCAAATGACCAGGAAGCTTTCCCCAGCTATCCCTCAAGAAAATTGTGGAGTAATAGTCCTTGTACTGCTCATGTTCTTTCAACCAAGTATCTCCCAAGAGATCCCCAAGCTTTGTTCCTTTCAAGTGCTTGAACAGATGCCAGTGATTGTTCATAGCAAAGAAGTTTGATAGCATAGGATCGTCATAAGCCTTGATCCATGTCTCCAAATTCAACTCTACGGTTTTAATAATGTTTAAAACCTCATTCACCAGGAGTCTCTCCTGAAAGCTCTGCCGTTTCCAACTCCGGTGTATGACAAGGACTTGTGTCAATATTGGCTTATAGTCATCCCCTAGGAGTTTGTTACAATAATCAGTAATAAAACTCACCAGTCTCGGGACATTGCCGTCAAGAGGAGGTGGATTCTGTCTCTGTAACTCTACCTGGACCAGAAGTTCCCAGAAAATCTCCGCTGCCCCATCAATCACACTCTTGATTAGATCCCTAGTCAAGTTCTGAATTTCAACACATGCTGCTCCACCAAAAAGGCGGTTGAAATCCAATCTCAATTTGTTCAGAGATGCAAATATGTCCAATAGTTTTAACAGTTTGATGGGATCTTTCTTACTCTCTGTAACAGTCTTCCCAAATTGAAGAAATGCAAGTATACCGGCCTGTGCAGCTATCCTTGAAAAGCAGCCCATCCACACATCCAATCCAATCCTCTCAAATACATCATTACAAAGTTTATACTCAGCTTCAAACAAATGCTTCACTGCAAACTCTAAATGCTTTCCCCATTGGGCTATATATCCCTCAATGCTCTGCACATCATTGAATTCAGATACTGAGATCTCAAGGTAATCCAGATTGAGAGCCTGCAGGCTTGCTCTGACGTTTGAACTACGGACTTCAACATAAATTGATATGCATTTCTCGAGTCTATTGTTAGCGATCAATCTGCCAAGAATTGCTTGCAACTTGTGAATAATAGATACTGGTAAAGGTGAAGGAGCAATGCATGCCTGACCAGCAAGCGTAGGCGATGGTGACATTGGAAGCGGAACACTGTTTTCAGTCAACAGCTGCCGGAATTCATTTTCCAGTTTTTGCAATGCTGCTTCTAAAAGCCCACCATCCAGTCGGGCCTTCCCCTCTTCATTTTGCAATTCACGAAGATTTTGAAGTGACTTCTTCAAATTTGACAGATACCTTTCATCAGCAACAGTATTATCTTCCAAGTACTCCACAATATCCTCCAACCATTGAATTGCCAATCCACAGTTATCTGCCAAGAACCTCAGTGCCTCTTCGAGGCGCTTCACCACTGACAAATAACCCGGGAGATCATTACGCGGATCAGATAACAGTGACTTTTCGAGGCCATGTACAGCATCAAAAACCTTGAGCACGGCAGCTGCGGGGCTAACGGCTCGATTAATGTGTCCGCCAACAGCCGCAAGGGCGTCCTTGTCAGCACGAATGGGGCGAACAGCAGATTCAAGGGAAGGCAATCTTTGGCTAATCTCCTCCAATCTAGGTCCAGCCTTCTCCAAAGCTAACCCTAGGGACTTTGACTTCTCCAGGCTAAGCTTCAATGACTTCTTAGCGGAAATCAAATTCTGAATTTTACTATCGCTGCTAGCATGCACTGAATCAGCCATTCAGATTCAAAAACTCCTACCCAACCCAGTCCAGAAATCAATGTTTTTAGAATTGTAACCTCGGCTCAGGCGAATCGAAGCACAAGACTTGTTAACCAATGAGAATAGTTTTCCTCTTCCCTCTTATTTATCTATGAGTAATATCCATCAAGTCGCATCGGAATCATCGACAATGGAGTTGAAATCAACCGGGATTGGTGCAGTAAGCGTTTTGCATCAGCGGCTTCACCAAGCTCGCATCAAATCAAAGACTAAGGCAAACACTAGGGGAGAACGAAATTTGCAATGGACGCACGGCAATCCAGGTTAAATAAACAATAAAAATGGAAAAACAAACAGACGAAAGAGAGATGTCCAGCAGAAATAGTCGGAGCGAAGAATGAGGGGAAACTCACATGAAAATAATATGAATGGTATCGTCAGAGAAAGAGGAAGAAGGAGCCGAACAGGCGAGTTGAATATGAAAGAGGGAAATGAGTTGCTATGAGGAAGAAAAGAAGAAAGAGCTTGGATTCTGAATCTGATTTCCAATCAGAGAGAGGGAGGGGAGGAGTGAGAAACCCTAAGAACAGTGTAAACGGGAAAGGAGAGAGAGAAGCAGGGACTTGAAGAGGCAACATTAAAGTACGTTTTAATTCTATTTTTATGGCAAAGGATGCAAGTGCTTGACAGTGAGGCAAAGGGACTTCCTTTACTGTTCACTTCTCTATAATCTCTCCCCTCTTTCGTTCCCGTTTCTGTAAAAACAAGAGTACTTCGTCAAGTTTTTTTTTTTGGGTGAATAACACAGTTATTTACTTATTTTAGAGAGAAGCAGAAGTTCCATCTCAAAGTAATGTTAACTTTTTTGTGAAAATAAATCATATTATCATCATTTGAAGTTTCAAAAATTTTGGCATAATGTGGGATTAATTTTTTCGTTCTCAAAAGAATTCTTTGTTGTTACACCTTTTGTGTGTGTGTAAAATCAATATGTAAATGGCAATAGATAAAAAAGGCAAATTGACAACCAATTAAAGTTTATGTTAATATCCATGGACAGCTGCACGTGCTCTTTTTTCCTTAAAAAAAAAAGGTTAAAAATACCGACACTAATAATTTGAGATTATATACGCAATTAAACCTTTGGTCTTTCATTTATTAAGAGAGTCTAGATGTCATTAGGTTACAAGGCTGTTGGCCATACATTTCATATTTAAAAAAAGATTGGTCTTGATAGATATTTGAATTAGTTTATTTCAAATAATTTTACGCTATATAAGAGAAACATTGTACTATAAAATGTAAAATAGCTCATGTTAAATGACTCTAATAATTTGAACAAAATAAAATGCATAAACTAAAAAAACTGGTTTCATCAATTGGGCATAAAGATAAATTGGAGGCCACTTTTTATCTTTTAACAAATATCTCTAGCACTGTTCTAATTTCGCATAATGTGATTATTCATCAATAGTGTCCGATTCCCCCACCCCTCTCCCAGTTTCCAGTTTCTTTTTTTATTTGTTTACTGCCAAGAAGAGCATCCAATTATATATAGACAACACACACTGAAGAGCGTCCAATTTGACAATTTCTAACCCCATAAAATACGAGAAAATCCGTCCTAGCTGTTGTTTAAAGCGACGGGAAGAAGACTGAGACGGAGAATCTTGAATAGAATAATGAGTGGAATCCAAGTGTAACAATAACTTTTTTGTGAACCGTGAATGTTCATAACAGTACACCCAGAGAATCGAATCCATTCTGTTCAATGGGCCCCCGGTTAAAGTGCATCCTAAATAATTATGCACCCAAACAAAATCTATGAACCATCCTTCTGTTAATGGCATGATAACACTGTTAAATTGTTAATCAACACAGTAACTCAGTAACACTTTTTATAGAACAAGATATTTATTATACGTAGTCACGTATTCATAATATACTGCATTTAATTCCACATACGACAGTATTAATCACAGGGGTGAAAATATAATGTACTCCCTTGTTCTTTAATGTAAAACATATTTAACTCAAGTGAGTAAATTAAAAATGTTAGTTAAATTTATTAATATAATATTTTTATAAATCACCCTAATTATTTTCTTTGATTTTCTTACTCCCTCTCATATTTGATTATTGTTGAAAGAATATCAATAGGATTAATTTTTTTAAAAAATAGATATGTAAAATAAATACTACTTTCAGTCCTTAATATAAGACCATGTTTGACTTTTATTTTGGTCATAAATATAAGACCCAATCCACTTTCTCTCTAACATTTATACATTTTTTTTATCAAGTAGCCCTTCTAACAATAATAGTTATAGTCAATACACTTGATTAGCAAGAATATTTTAGGAAAGACAACACCTATTTAGGACAAATAACTAACTCAACTTACTTCCTTAATTTTCTCAAATTAGCCAACTGGCTCTTATAATTAGGACCAGAGGTAGTATTACATATAAGACTAATTTTAATTTTTAAATTAATTTTTACATTAAAGACCGGATTAGGAGCATAATACACAGCCAAAACAAAATGAGGACGAGGAATAAGAAGAGGGGAAAATGTCACAGGCCAATTGGGCCGAATAACTATCCTCTATCCAGTACACATTTAGGGGATAGAGGCTCGTCCCATTGTAGCTTCTACAGCAGGGCTGCTTCGATATTTTTCGTTTTTCTTTTTCTTTTTTGTGCCAATGCTTTGATCTTTTTTTCCTCAGTTGGCGTTGACTTGTGCATTAAAAAAAAGACTAGGTTTGGTCTTCACGTGATATTTATCACCGTAATCTTTTAAAATTATACCACCTCCGATCCTAATTATAAGAGCCAGTTGACTAATTTTAAGAGATTAAAAAAGTAAGTTGAGTTAGTTATTTATCCTAAATAGGTGTTGTCTTTCCTAAAATATCCTTACTAATCAAGTTTATTAACTAGAACTATAATTATTAGAAGGATTATCTTGAAAAAAATGAGTAAATATAAGAGACAAAAGATTAGGGCCCTCATTTAAGACCGGAGGAGTATAATTAAAATGTCGCGGCTTCATATTTTAAATAATAAACTGAGCAATGTGAGGATAATAAATTGTAAAACGTGTAAGGATTGAATGGGACTAGACTTGAAACATTTGTTGATTGATGTAAAAGGGAATGATTAGTAAAACTCCACGCCGAAGTGAATATTGGGTGTTCCGAAGTCCAGTTCTGAAGGCTTAAATTACGTAGAATGCACGTTTCAAACTTTGATCATGACTCCGCATTATAATTGTTGTATTGCCCCTAACACCCAGTTCTGAAGGCTTACATTACATTGACAAAAATTTAAAAGTTTCTTTGAATTGAATCTGGAATGGCTATGACCAAAAAAAAAAAAAAGAATCTGGAATGGCTGGTGTTGACAAACTTGTCTGTTGCACCCCACCATGTGAGCGTTGACATTGCATGGATTTGTTGCATTCGGTAAGGGGTATCGCCAAGGAATGCTTTTGTTTTAGGCCTCTAATGCTACACATACCTCACGGCTCAAAACCAGCAGTGAGATGCAGTGCGAACTGGGAAGAGACGTGGTGACAGAAGGCCGTGCCAAGTGGCCCATTTTTTAAGGCCACTTGGATCCCCACGGCAACCAATTCCACAGTGTTTCATTGGCCCTCCCTCTGCCTCCACTCCTTGTTTGGCCATCTGTTTGCATCCCCACTCCCACTTTTCCTTCCATTTTCCATCTCTCTCTTTCTCTCTCTCACTCTCTTTAATAATAACAATAATAAAAATCTCCTTTAGGGCATGGGAAATTGTAATTGTAATGTAGTAATTATATAATCCTTTCCATCCAGAGACTAAATTTACAGTTCAACCCCCGGCCACTCCCTTCGTATTACAAAAATATCACAACCAAACCATCCCTTCATTTCTTTTTTTTTTTTTTTGGGTACAACAGATTATTTTCGCAATTCGACATTTCCACCCTCCTCATGTAGACTGAAACACCAGCCCAACACCCCCGGATCCGTTCTCCTGCATCGCGGCCTGCAATGCGTGACGGTGCTCCCCCTCGTAGGTTACGATCAGCATCGCCGGATCATCCGGGGCCCGCTCTACGTGTTTCCTCGCCGGACACCCTCTCACTGTACTGCATTTGTAATAACCCCTGTTTCCACAGTACAAGTTACGTTAGCCAACAAAACAAACAAGCCCTTGCGGGCTAACGCGGCACACAACGCCTAGATCAACGGACACGATTTGCGGACGCTCACCTTGGATACGGTGATCCCTTGATCGGTTTCTGGCCGTACTTCCTCCACGAGTACTCGTCCGGCGGAATATCCGCGATCTTTGAGCTAATCGCCGGCACTCTTACAACCTTCTTCAGCCGATTCTTCCTGAAGGAAATTAAAAACCAGAACTGTCATAAAGCGCCGCGTCGATAACGTGGGCCGGTGCAATAATATTTGCAAAGTCAACAGTCAAAAGCAACCACAGATATAAAGACAAAAGCGATATTAATTTCTCGATTTTTTCAGACACAATTTCTAAAACCGCTTCGGGGAAAAGTCGGCACTGTAATTTGTCACAATCACGCTCGTGGTGCATCTGTGGCTGGTTATGCCACAACCGCAACACCCCCGAAATCGTTGACCACCAGACCGATTTTCCGAGTCGACTCGGTTTTCACCAATAAGATGTAAGAGGTTGATTTCGTGGTGTACCTTCTTTTTGTGCAGTGGCACTTGCTGGAGCCGGAGAGGTCATCGGAGTGCTCACGGTGGTCGTGGCATCTCTTCTTCGTCGGTACCGTCGATAGGGGTGGCTTCCCGTTGCCGGAGGCAGTTGGTGCTGCTGGTGCAAGGAAGATCGACGTTCCTTGTTTGCCGTTCGATACGCTGCCGTCGCCGGTGATGGCCGACGACATGAAAGATGAGTTTGAAGACACGCTGAAGGTTTCCTTCGAGAACTCCAGCTCTAGGGACTTCGTCTTGGAGGTCAATATATTAGGTTTTGTGAAATCGAGAGTCAGAGACTGTGAATGAGCCGGAACAAAACCGGATGGAGCAGTGCTGTTGTTGATCGGAGCGTTATGCAAGGTGACCGGATTTGGGATGGGCGCCGGAGAGGGGAACTGCGCCGGTGATAGATTCGGAATTTGCGATTGGGAAATGTTGGCCGACGAGGGCACGGCGGACGATGGCGGCGGCAACTTTGAAGCAGAAGGGGGAGGCGAGCTGGAAGGGGGAATCGGTGCTCTTCTGAACCGGGCATGGCCAGTGCGATTTAGAAGAGAAATGACTTTCTTAAACTTAGAAACAGTAACATCGGTAAGATCAGCGCAGTCAACGAGATCGGGTTTGTGGGACAGAACACGGATTAGATTCTCCATGCCCTTTAATCCCTCCGATGCAGCCTCCTGAATTGCTTTCTGCTCGTCCATTTTCGGAAACCCCATGAGCTCCACCGCCATTTCCGCGCTTCTAGAGAGGAAGATGTAGAAGAAGAATGAGTGAAATGAAACGATCGAAACTCAAACCGCCATGGGAATTGCAGAAACAGGTTAGAAAAGAGAGGAAAAGCACGGCTAGAGGGGGATATATGGTAATGGAGGTGACCGGACGACCGGGTAGATGAGAGAGAACATCAAATGGGGTCTTTTCTGATCAGACGGCTGAGATGTGTTTGAAACGGTGTGGGGATTGTGATGTAAAGTGAGAACATAGAGACGAAAATGTGCGTTCTCTTTTACTGTTGAAAGTTGAAAATCAAACGGGAGCAAGACTTGAATTTGACTTTTTCGTCGCTCACCTTTATTTTTTTTCATCCTTTATATGGCATTATTCTTATTATTATATTTCTAGCAGTTGTTTAAATTTTGAAAGAACCGGGTTAGGATAACTGACAGTCTTGTAGAGCTTTGTAATTTAATTCCTGTCCATTACGTAAAATACTGAAAAGCAAGTTGATTTGTGCGCTTTCAAATTAGAATTGGAAGGTTAGGTTTGTCTTTTTACCATGAGTAAATATAGTACTACTACTTTATTTTCCAAGCATTTATGCACGCAAAGAATAAATTGGAAGTTGGACTGGGTAAAAGTATCAAAATTGTAAATAAATAATGTTTGAATTAAGGTGACAGAAGTTTCTAGCGTGTACTTTGAATACTGATATTCGTGTATTGGAATCATGCACAATTAGTGTTTCAACGGCCTCCTCCATTTCACAACCCAGGGCTTATCCATCCTGTTGACTTCATTCAATCATTTCAATAATTTAACCTATTTGTATTTGTTTTTGTTTGACAAATATTTTTAAAATTAAATCATTACCCACAATTCAAAGATTTGCATAGCTGTACTCAGAATCCCAATCCGACCATCACTCATTTTTATAACCAGGACTTGTTCCCATATGCAAAATGGTCAAACCAAGGAAAAAAATAAATTAGGTACGCCTTTTTCCTTTTCTAATTCACAGCACAAGGTTTCGGAAAATTTTGACCCATATATTTTTATTTCCCTCTTTCCAATTCCCGATACTATTTCCCCTATTTAATAAAAAAACTATTTAACTAATTTAAATAAATTAAAAAAGTTTGTTAAATTAATTATTTGTAATAATTAAGTATTGTCTTTCCTAAAACATCCTTACTTATCATATATTACTTTTGATCCTCAATATAAGATTTCATTTAAATTTTATTTAGTTTTTAAATACAAGACCCAATTTATTTATCTCTCATATTTATCTATTTTTTTCTCAAGATAGTTCTTATAATAATGGTAGTACTAACAAAAAAACTTAATTAACAAGAATATTTTGAAAAAAATAACGTCTATTTATTACAGATAACTAACTTAATTTATTTTCTTAATTTATTCAAATGAGTCAATCATCTCTTATATTTAGAATCGGATATAATATATATATCAACTAAAACAACAATTTGATGAAATATTTAACATATGCAACTATTGTAAAGACTATTTTTAAAAAAATGAATAAATATGAAAGATAAAATTGACTAAATTTTTATATTTAAAATCAGATTAAAAGTCAAATTAACTCTTATTTTAAAGATCGGAAGTAGTATCTATTAAGAAGTTTTAAGCATGCCAAAAATAAAAATTGATTTTTTTTTTCCTGGACAGTTCAGTCTTGGGTTCACGTTTCTAGAAATTTTGATAATTTCCTGCTTTCCTGTTAGTAAAATCTGTTCATATTCTAAACCTGTTTTATGGAGGTCACTGCATATTGAATCTAGACTAGTCCAAATTTATTTATGTTACTCCCATTCACTTTTATAAGTTTTACATTTTAGTTTATCTTAAATTTTAATTTTATTCTTAATTATCTTCTTATATTTTCTATTGTTACATTTTTCCATACATTCTTTCTCATTGGTTTCTCATTTATTATAATAACATATTTAAAAATAAAAGTATTTTTAACTTATTTATCACTTTTAATTGATTTTTTATTATGTGTAAATTAGTTATTTAAAACTTAAGTACGAAGAGAGTGTTTTACATCATTAAAGAGTGGAGTTTAAAGTTTGATGGAGTTGAAACAAGAAAAAATGGCGGCCACCTATGTGAAATACTCATTTAGTTCCATTTATAAAATAGATAAAGAATTTTTTTAGTCCTACTTATAAGTCAACTTATTAAATTTTTAGTATAAATATATTACTTTGTATTTTATTTTTTATAGTATAGATAAATTTTTTTAAATATATATAAAATAGGAATAAAATTAGAAAATTACCAATTTTAATAGAGTGTTAATATAATTTAAGATTTTTTTTTACCTGTAAGAAACATGGTGGACATTTTTTTTTTTTACCTGAAACATGGTAGACATTGGAATATATACTAAACGAGGTCATTACAATTAATTGATGGATGATTACAGGTAACCCTTGGCGTTACAACAACGGCATTAATGAAGAAAAGAGAAAAAGAAAGCTGACCGAAACATCAAGTGGGGATCACATGGAGAACGAGTCATCTGTTTCTTTAATCTGAAACTGTTGACCTGATTCATCCCCCTTTTCTAATCTGTTGTTTATTCTCTGGCTTAAAATTAATGGACCCACCATTAACACCGGCTCTAGCCGGTGGGCCTCAGGAGAAGCTTTCTTCGCCGTGCGATTAGCTTTGGGTAATCCGATGGTTCTTATTCGTAGAGAGAGTTGACTCTCGCTCTTGTTTAATTTCGATAACCTCAGTGCACAGCAGCCATTGCATATCCGCCACGTGGAACGCAAACTTTAATTATTCGCGATGAATAGGTGAATCCTGGCTGGATGCAATAAATATTGCTCATTATTTTATTTTATTGTTAAAGCGATAAAACTTTTTTTTCCCCACCAAGCACAAGGTTACATAAAGAATAAATTTACGCACTTATGCTTTTGTTTGGACCAAATTTACGGACTTATGTTTACGGCACTGAGAAAAGAATACCCAGATAATTATTTATTGCGTCCTTAATGTTTTATTGCTGCCTGCTATATCAGAAAATTCACGTGTAGCTTAGGATTTGATCTGCGGATAATCAAAAGATCAAAGAAATGAAAAAATAATTTTGATTATGAGCAGCTTTTCATATTCATGTAAAATCTATTCATAAATGATTTCAAACATGACTGAAAAAATTATTAGTAAGTGTGACTCCAGAGCGATGATTATTTTTAAGAAAAAATTCCAGAAAAAGTTCTTGGAAAGTATGAAATTTTAGATTAGGTTATGAAATTATGTAAATGACATAAAGACTTGATCTGTCATTTGTAAAATCAAGAAAAATTAACAACTTTGTCCTCATTATCTTTCTTAATACCTTCTCTCCTTCTTTTACTTGATTGTGGTTGAGCGAGTATCTATAGGGGTAATCTAAAAAAAATTGATAAATATGAAAAATGGGTCTTATATTTAAGACAAAAACCAACTCAACAATTGGGTTTTATATTAAGAACCAGCAAGGTAGGTGTTATCTTTCCTAAATATCCTTACTAATCAAGTATGTTGGCTAGAATTACTATTATTAGAATGACTATCTTGGAAAAAATACATAAATATTAGAAACAAAGTGGATTAGGATTTTATATTTAGGAATCAAGATAAAAATCAAACAAGATCTTATACTACCTTTGGTTCTAATTATAAGACCCAGTAGACTAATTTGATGAGATTAAAGAGAGAAGTTAAGTTAATTATTTGTAATAAATAGGTATTGTCTTTCCTAAAATATCCTTACTAATCAACTATATTGGCTAGAACTACAATTATTAGAAGGACTACATTGAAAAAATGTATAAATATGAGAGACAAAATAGATTGAAATCTTATATTTATAACCAAAATAAAAATCAAACAAGATTTTATATTAAGGATCGGAGGTAATATTAAGAATCGGAGGTAGTAATCCATAAGCCGCATAGGCCATTATTAATAAGGTTTGACTTTAGCATTCTGTGGTGACAAATATCGCGTATCTGAAATAATATCTAAGATCCGTGCATTGTCGAATATAATTCATATTATTTGTATTTAAGTTTCCATACATTTAAATCCCAATTTATTATTCCACAAGCTATCATTCATTATCCTAATTCCTCCAAAGTCTTCGTCCCTCGGCTGTTACAAAATACGCCACGTTTGTCAAATGTGAACCCAATCAAGAATCAACTGCCTCGTTATCGTTTGTCAAAGGTAAGTTTTCTTCTTTATTTATTTATTTATTTTTTAATAAAAAACGTTTACACCATTTTACATGTGATTCCATATTTGTGATAAAATTGCTGGAATAGTTTTAATAAGTTAGCAAGCGGTCGTGCCCTGATTAATTGTTTCAATGCAGCTGTCCGATGATCTTTTTGGGGGGGGGGGAAGCCTAATGTTTTTTTCCTTCATGTACTCTTTTTATATTTCTGTTTTGAATAAAATTATCTTTTTTTAATAAAAAATCATTATTTTAATATTTTTAAGCCCGAGTAATAAATTTAATTAATAATTTCTGACACCCTTCGTTTAACGAAATTAACTCAAAAATTTAATTAATAATTAAACTAATGATAGATTTATTCCCTTTTAGTCCCTATTATAAGTACCTAAAAATAATTTTACTTGAATTAATAAAATTAGTTGTTTCTTAAAAAATTTTAAATTATCTTCAATAAAAAAATTATTAGTTAGAAGGGTTAGTTAATTAGTTAGAAAGTTTTATGATTAACTGAGTGAAACGAAATAAGCGTGAAATAGCACTCAAAAATCTAATTTTATATATAATTTAAAATACTAGATGTACTATAAATAAAATTAAAATGTTACGAGTATCGTAAAAATAACATCAAAATATTATGTGCTATGTGCTATTTTACCTAAAAATTAGCACTTTTTTTTTTCACCGGCACCTAAAAATTAACACTTAAGACAACACACGTTGTATCATAAAATATGCTGGGTCACGTAATAAAGAGGGGAGGAAGCAGTTAATAACTTCCCATCACATGGGTGACTGAGTCAAATCTACAAGGGAGATATTGAATTATTACTCTTTTGGTTCTATTTATATGGTTGAGAGAAGATATTTTTTTATTCTATTT